GGCACTGTGTATTGGGCCCGGGGATCACATGTGCAACTTCCAGTCCCAATCCACACAGCTATCTCAGGATTTTGGGGCTCTTGGGAGTTCAAAAAACCCAAACAGCCCCCACCCACCTACAAAACCCCAACAAAACCCTTACAAATAACTCGCCTAAGATGACATTTCCCTGCTGCTGGCCCTCTGGTACGCATAGCAATGATGTGCCATGAGAAAGGGGAGGAGGAAAATCACTTCTGCTCTCCTTCTCCTGGCGCGTCATTTCCATGTGCCAGGAGAGGACTGGCAGCAGGGAAATGCCAGCCAGGTAAATTATTTCTGGGGCTTTTGTTTTGTATACAGGTGCCCTACTGGAAGGTCTGGCAGGGCATCTAGACACCCCCGCACCAAGAAAAGCATGAGCTTTCTGGGGTGCGTGTGGTCTGCAATTTTTTAAAAACCTGATTGGGTGAACATTAAAGTCTTGTCTGGAACTGCCCTTACTAGTGAAGTGCAAAAAGCAGTGGCAGGGTGCAGTTCTAGGAAACAAAGTGAGAGGACAGGTGTGGGCTGATGGAAGGGAGAGAGATGCAAGAAAGGGAGAAGGAGAGAGAGAAGGAGGTGTGAAAAATGCAGTGGCAATGTACAAGGAGCGAGAAGAATGGGCATGGTGAAGGGCAATGTACAATGGGAAGAAGATGTGGTGTCACAAGAGAAGGCAAGGAGTGGGAAACACAGAGGGTAAGGAATAATCCCGTCCCCTTACAATGAGCAATACCTCTCAAAGATACTAAGGAGATACCTGTGTTAGTTCCGCAGCAAAACAAAAACACAAAACATAAACTAGTATCTATCCTTATCTATCCAACAGTATCTACCCTTAATTACTATCTTGTTTTATTTGGCATAAGTTTTTCCAGACTGCAATGCACTTCATCAAATGTGCAGCAAGTTGCATCAGTTGGCAGATATTTAAACACATGGTTGGGATGGGAAGATGGAATTAATCGAATAAATGAGAATGGAATTTTTTAAAGGAACATTTATCATCATCTTAACCAATAGCAGCTGAGTGGTAAAACTGACATCTAGTGTGTGTGGGATGATGAAAAGATAAATAGATGAAAGACTGTAGACTATTTCTTAGTTTTAGTACAACATTTCTGTATTCATGAAAAAAATCAGATCATGCTCCCCCCTCACTTTTAAGCAGTGTGGTTTCTCCTTATTTTCCTTGACACCTGGGCATGTGAATCAGATGACATTCACTCTGAAGCAGAGATTTGAACTTGGGTCAGCACTTTTAAACTCTTCTCTATGGTTTTTAAATCTCAAATTAGTTGTAATCTGTGCATGTTTTTTTTTAATAAAAAAGTAACACAGTTGAAGAAAAATATAACAATGCATTACGTTTGCATAATTAGAATAATGAAAATAGATCCTTCTACTTGAGGAAGTAAAAAATGTCAACCCATGACCCAGTAGAAATTTGGCACCCTATCTTAGCTTGTACGTAAGAAAGGTTGTATGTAAGAAACAAACCAAACAAAAATGGTGAAGAGGAATTTCGCTATAGGAAAGCTTTTTCCATGAGATAGTAAAATTCATACTATTCCTTCCTTACCAGAACTGATCAACTCTAGAGGCTGAATTAAGCCACTACTCTCCACTTTATGATAATCTCCCTAGGTGATTGCCAGGATTGTTTTCTATTGAGTCCCCAAGATCTTGGGTTGGAGAAACACTGCCTGAATGGCTATGGTCAGAGGTAACAATTTCTTCAACAATAGTAGTCTGGATGTCTGGAGTCTAGGAGTCTGGTAAAAACAATTATTTTGATTTTTCAAAGACATGTTGCATAGATAGATTTCAGTAAAACTGAATTTTCCCTGCAGCAGTTCAGTTAAGGGTACACACACATTGTGAAGTCTGGGATAAAGTGTGATGATACTAATGCCCAGAAATAACTGGATCCACTTGTCTCTGGGAGGTCATCAGGGGTATACTGCTTCTATTTTGGAAGGATTCATTCCCATTTCCTTCAGAGAGATTTGGTGCTCAAGGAAATCCACAGCTGAGAGGTCAAATGAACATTTTTCTAACTTGGCATAGAGTTGTAACCTTGCAGTCATTGGAGAGCAGCTTTTGTTGGACATCATGAACTGTTGGTTTGCGGTATGTGTATATATATAAAGAAATCATCTAGGTAAATGATAACAAACCCATCAAGATAGTGCTTGCTGTTCATGAAGTGTTGGAAGCATTGCATGAAACAAAAGACATGGCTGAAAATTCCTAGCATGTGGAATGTCATATTCCACTCATTGTCAGTTTTCATCTGGACTAGATTATAGACCTCATAAAGGTCTAGTTTTGTGTAGACTTTACGCAGACTTTATGCAGCTACTCCAACAGTTTTGGTATCAAACAGTTTGGTATCAAAGTGGGTATAGTGATTTGGATGAGAGCTCTGAAACTGTTGCACAGATGAAGTGCTCCACATTTCTTCACAAATAGATGAAAGGGCTAGTTGAAGGGGCCAAGAGTTTGATGACTCCACAGCATAGGTATTTTCCAAGAAGTCCATCAGAGTGGCATATCTTCGCTCTGATAAGGAATAGACACGACCTGCTGGAATGAGGGCTATAAGGGATAGATTAATTAGTGTGTGTGTGGGGGGGGGGGCAGTCTGCATCCTTTTTATCAAAGCCATCTACAAAGTGTTCATATTTGGTTGGCAATTTGACAGAAGATTCTGCTGACTCTGAGTCTTAAGCTGCATGAGCCCTTTTTGGCAAAAATGGCTCCTGGCAAAACTCAGATGTGAACAATAACTCGCTTCTGGACCATGCTATGGGATCATACTAGGTAAGAAAAACATCCCCAGGACCAAGGAAAATTGAGGTATGTTTGCCAAATTGAACCAGACATGTTCAGTATGGCCCTGAGTCCCAAGTTTCATGGGTCTGGAGCATTGTAAACAGCTATCCGTGTAGAAGAAAGAAGTAATATACGTGGCAATGGACCCCGTTCCCTTGGCAGAGGCAATGAATGCATTAGTTGGCAGTTCCTGTTCCTATACATCTCTCATTTCCCTCAGAAAGTGAAGCAGCAGAGATTTTAACCAACAAGAAGTTTCACTGAGTCAGAAATCTTGTGACTCACTCCCAAGTATAAGAATGCATTTGTGACCTCTTTATGGGTGGTTTAATTTGATAATTTGATACATTAATTTAATCTTACTGCAGTCTCTCTCACACACATATAGCTTTATACGTCCTATAGACTCATTCTTAAATTATGCAACAAAATGTTAGTTTTGTCAATCTTTCAATTACATTCTTGTTTGTAAGCAATGTATGGGAGAAATATGACAACCATTTGAGAACCGAGGAGAAAAGTGTTTCTAAAAAACAGAATTGATACAGTGTCTCTGAGACTCTCATGTGTGATGGATAAAATTAAATTGTTTTTGTGTATGATATGATGGCTAACTAACTATACACACACACACACACACACACCCACACCAACAATTTATTTCTATGAACAGCACTAAAAGACTATTATTTTTAGTAGTTGATTGGTCTTACCTCCTAACGATGCTTTTCTTCTTGCATGTTGAGTATTTACAATAAATATGGAGAGGACAGGACCAAATTCTGAAGCCTGTTCTTACTGTATGGTTATTGCACTATGATTCCACTTTAATTACTATAGTTTCATCCTATGGAATCATTGGATTTACAATTTAGGAAGTGACATTTACAATTCTCAGCCAGAAAGCTCTATTGCCCCAATAAACTACAAATGTCATAATTTCATTGGGTGTTGCCATGGAAGCGAAAATGGAATCATAGCGTTATAACTCTGGAGTGAAAGGGTCCCTTATGGCTCCATCTCATATAGCATTGGCTACACCCCACTATGAAGATAATATATGAAATCAGGTCATTGTTGCAACACTACATAATTTCTTACTCCTCTCCAGCATTTGCGACTTCAGAAAATCTCTCTCTTTTTTTACATGACAGGGCTGTCCTTGATAGTTTCATATAAATCATGCCTAGCCACAGTAAGAGCTTTAATGCCGTGTTCAACTATAACTTGGGATATTATTTGTATAGACTGAGAGAATGAATGGGAACAGAAAGCACAAGGTATCTCCAAAACCTATTCCTCTTAGATGCAATGACTACTTACTGGGAAAAAATTGAATTACTGGAATTAAAGATGACAGTGATTCACAGTCTTTAGTCTACCAAGTGTTTTGGACTTCATCTCCCAGAATTTTTGATAGTTGTCCAAGTTGGACAGAGTTTCTGGGAATTGAAGTGTCAACCACCTGGAGGACCAAAGGTTGGGAACCACTACTTTAGGCAATCTGTCTGTTGTTCTAGGCCACACCATGGATCTGAGGAAGTAGGATTAGTCTATGAAGGCTTATACTACCACTTCATTCTCTCCCTTGAACTTTCAGACTAACAGAGTTATGTCTTTGAATTTTATCCTCTCTTACATGATGATTCACTGCTTCATTTCTGGAAAAAATAAGCCAGGTTCACATATTAGTTTATTATCCTGGCCTGTTACCTGTTAGTAAGCCATAGTTGACCCATTCAGGAAGAAAGGGGATCTCTGCTTAATGCAATCCAAAAAGAAAACTCTGAAGAGAAAACTAAGGTGGAGGAAGTTCAATGACAACATATTGTGCATTGTATGGATTCTTCAAGCAGTACTATTTGGCATGTACTTATTGTTTACTGCATGACGCTTACCAATAGTAGTAAATAAAAATCCATTTAACATTGTCTGTTTTAACTTGGGTCAGAAATGAACCAAGATTAGAACAAAAACCTATTCTAGCCATGTAAAGACATATAGATGAGGATAAATAACGTTTTCTACTTATTTACATTCTTAGTTGAATGTAATCTATAAAAATGGATTGATGTGAAATTAGTGCAGAATAAAGGTAAAAAAATATGACAAGTGTTAGTAAAATTGACATGAATATTTACCTTTTGAAGATGAGCTAAAACGTTCTTGCTCTTCAATGAATAAAATGCACGGAATGATGGGAACAAAAGAAAGAAATCAGCAAATTTAAAGTTAGACAAAAAGGTGTTATACATGAGAATGAGAAACGCTATTGGTATTGTTGCAGCATGCATAAAATTAGTGTGAGAAAACTTGGATGGCAAAACCATGGTAAGTAATAAAGTCTGAGGCAGATACAGAGTTAGGCATGCTGAAATCAATTGAAACCATCTTCCAAAGCACACTAAGTATTGCTCTAAAAGGAGAAAGATTTGTTTGATCTGAAAAGAAACCCGAGTATCTATATTGGTGTAAACTGTGATTGGCAACTTTTCAAAAACAAAGTTCAAAGTTTGTAAAAAACGAAGGTACATCTCAATGACATGTCAAGCGCTTAAGAAAACAACTTGCAGTGTAAAGGTTCACTAGTGTGAATAGATGTGTTTTCACTTTTCAGTTTTTCACATCATCATTTGAAAATTTTTATACTAAAACAAAATTAAAGTGTTTTATGTATAAGTTTGAAACACACATTGCTGCAAATATGTCCTTTTAATCCATTTCCATATTAAGTGTACTCATGTATTGGACTTAATGAGACCAGTATTTCACAAATATGTGACCATTTCAGAAAGCACTCTCCAGTTTACTTCAACACAACGAAAACAAAATTTGCATTGCAAAACAATGGAAGCACACAGTCACACACACAAAGAGTAAAGCACCCATGGAAGTATGGTAACAAAAGACTGAATGGATGTAAAAATATTTAGTGACTTTTAAAGTAACAATTATCATACTTTTTACAATCCCCTTACAAACCCCTTCCAAAAATAGTTTTATTTAAAATTTTTACTCCTTTGATAGCACATATTCGCTTTTTAAATAAGTGCACCTATATGTGAATATATGTCGTCCCCCCCAGATGTTTTTTCATACCATGCTCACAATGAATGTTAGTATAATCTGAAAACAAAATACCAAAAGGCACGTATTGATGTGAATAAGAAATAAGTCATCTTAAAAAAATAGAGTTCTTCCATCTGAAATCTATAATGAAGACTATTTAGATACGGTTATTCATATTGTTTTTTCAACTATTGTAGTTCTATAGGGAATTGCATTTCATTCTCTCCAAATCAGAATCAACTATTTTAAACAAGCCAAATTACATAAAAGAATTAACACAAAGACACTTGAATTTGAACAATAACAAATGATTTTTCCTATTAAGAGGCTAATCTGAGACATTCCTGTCAGAATTCTTATTCTGATAACTAAATCAATACAATGGCCCTATATTTCTATATAAAACATTATGTAGCCACCTAGGAAGTGGACACATGTCCGCAAAGAAACAAATACTCTTCCATTACTGACTTATGATATTCTAGAATTATCACTTCATCGTTATTATCTACAACAAACACAATTATATACCTTCAAGAAAATGTTTGTATTTGAATAATATGGAATAAATTTACTCACTGGTTATGATACATCTGTTCAATCAGAGTGATATTTCTAAAAGTAATACTTTTTCAAATGGCATGTTTGCTTGTGTGCTAACAACTCAAGACGTTTAAATGCATTTAATTCAACACCATTATAGAAACATGTTTGAGAACCTCTTTAGTATCATCCTATAATATTGATGCAGGGAGAAGTAATATGTTTGAAAGAGATAGTAGTAAGAAATTGTCATAACCCACTTGCACACAAACTATAATCTTCACATGATACATTTACATTCCATAAAAATTAATTTGATTTCAAATCAAGTCCATGCATAAATAACAAATAAAAAAGTGGAACCCTGGTATTACAAATATCTGCAATCACACCTTGGTGGTCAAAAAGTTCAAAAGAAGTGCAGAGATCCATAATGAATAATAATGGAATAATATTCCCTATTTTTAATGGCACACTTTTTCTCAACCCTTGCCTGTGTTTAATATCTTTCACATTTTTCAGCTCCCCAATTCATACTTATAGTGTTGCACGCTCTATCTGAATATGCAATAATATAATACTATCTCCACAGAGTTAACTACTACAGTATGCTACAAAGAACTACAAATGTCAAAATAGATCAAAATGCAGAGGCACAAAACTGAACAATTTACTCAATTCTTCACCACTGATTTAATTCAAAGAAAAGCATGTCTTATGACCACATTTTACCACCAATGACACTCTTCTGATAGAACAATTAGTATAGACCTAACCTATTTGGATATCCACACATCCTTTTTGTTCATATCAACCAAGAGAAAAGTTACTTAAGAATCAGTTTCTTCAGTTTTGTGCAATAGAAGCATTACACCATTGTGTTCATGTTTCCTTATGCACCCCAAAGTGTTGCATTTGTGATTAATTATACATGAAACTATTCTTTGTCAGACATCTAGTGAAATGTAATGGGAAAATAATACTAAATCAACCATTCTTGTAATGACAGATCAACATGTAATTCTGCCACCATCTTTATAGACATGCCTTACTGAAACTCTCCATATTACATTTGTATTATTTGGTTCTGAAGTTGTTGAGTTTTTCAGATATAATTAAATTTCTCCTTGATTTTAACATGGGTGTGCTGCTATAGAATCTATATGTAAGGATTTATTGAAACGTATATCCCCTCAACCATGCATAGATTTCTCAGTTTCTATACTTTCATCATACATACATCTAATACTAATAGTTATAGTTACTGAAACTAGCCAGATGTCTTTTCCCTCTCTTAATTGTGGAGAAATTATTCCTGGCCCACAAAGATACTTCATGAAAATTCAGTTCCATCGAGATCAGAGGCAATAAATGTGTACTTGAAATTTGTTTTCTGCTCTGGAGATCTCAACATTGTTGGCTTCCTAGCCAGAAGACTGCTAAATGGAGTAATGTAACAGCTGAACAAAATCACACTCAAACTCATTTTATATATCCAGTTGGGTTAATGGTGTATTGATAAGAACAACCGATTGTGAAAACAGGGTGAACATTAGAACCTCTGAAGATGCCAGCCACAGATGCAGGTGAAACACTAGGAGAGAATGCTACTGGAACATGACCACACAGCTTGAAAAACTCACAGCAATCCAGGGATTCCAGCCATGAAAGCCTTTGACAACAAGGTGAACATGCTATTCAATATAATCATTAAATTAGACATTTCATCAAAGGTTCCATCCATAGCAGTTCATCGATTTTCACTAGTGATAACACTGTGTGTCTACTAAGTAGGTGGGGTAAACAGGGAATGTACTAGCTAGATGTATGGATCCACATGGGTTACCACCAGCTGTAAATATGCACCACATGAATAGCACCTTTTCATAGAACAATCTCATCTTTCAACAAGACAAAGTCAATATGGTTAGAAACCAGTTAGAAAATCTTTTCCCAGGTTCACCTGACTAAATTTCTACCAACACGGTAAATGATAATTTCAGTGTATTCAAACTCTAAGACCAGCCATGCTTTGTTTCTTGATTGCTGAAACCAATATAGTTTTCTAGGTTTATTGATCTACATTACCAAGTTGTGTTGATATCATTTGAACTCAGATGTTATTATTCCAGCTTGTTATTCAGTAATAAAAGATCGCATGAAAGACTCTTCATAGCCATGAAAAATTTACTTCAAACCACAACCTATGCCCCATTTTGGTTGATCAATAATACTCCTATTATATTCGGTCAAAAAAGTTATGTATCAATATCCACAAGGTTACCTCTTCCCCCTCACTCTCTTGGTCAGTTTCCACAGTGACAGTCCTAAAAAGTACAATTGGGTAAATGGCAATTTACCTTTAAAAATACAATGAGACCCTACTTTACAATAATATGAAACAAGAAGGGAAATATTTTATGCATCAAAATGATAAGCATAAAATAGAAACTACTCACATGAAAATAAATGTATGGAATGTGGAACAAGTCTCCAACATGTATACATTATTATTGTTATTATCATTGCTGTTGTTATTATTCTTATTGTTTGTAATAGTTGGTAATCATTCAGTAATCTATTTTACTCTCTTTATTCAGTAATGTATGGCTCTGATTCACAACTGAACACATTCTCAACACATGCTCATATGTCAAAGGATGTAAGACATTGATTTGTTCTTTCCATTCTGAATTAACTTTGTGTAAATAAAATATAAATAGTCTAACAACACGTATGATTTCTAATGTAAACCTAATCAGCTATCCATTTGTTACATCTAAGTAGGCAATTCCACCTGGCCCTCAGTAATCTGGTAAATATGATTGAAAACATAGATGTTAATACTTGTTGGGTAATAAGAACTATCCAGTATCTCCCAAACATCTCAGATTTTTTATAGTAGTGTGTTGCTCTTGCTTCCCTTGGTTGTATATTTTTTCCACCTTTGCACTTAACCATTGACATGCTCAGAAAGGGATATTATTTGTATAATTCACATTTCTGTCAGCAAATTATTATAGATAGGTTCCAGCTGGCAAAACAAAATTAATGATCAGTGAAGAAACAGGATGCTTTAATATTTATCATCTTAATCTGATTTTTTCCCAAGAATGTACAAGATCACGAGTTTCTATAACTATCTGCATAAAAAGATGTTAATATGCACGCATGAGCAAGAAACACAAGATATAGTTCTTAAACAAAACTATGCTATACTCAACTGCTCATTGCTATCTTGCAATCCACTTTTGTAGAACAGCATTGCTTTATTGGTAGAAAGTAATAAAGCATTGATGATTCAATAAAGCAATGCTTTATTGTAGAAACACATAAAGCATTGATAAACAAGATTGAGATGTTTCTGTAGAGGAAGAGGAAGGAGGGAAATGAGCCTGAGATTTTGAACTATAAACTTCTCATTTGATACCTTGCTCTATACTGCCACTCCTGACAGGGACTTGCGGAAGCTGCCTCCCCCTACGGCTGCTGAATGGGGTGTCTGCTGGAGACGACTGCATGGGACTTCCTGGTTGGTGCATTCTGCAAGCAGAATTGAGATTAAATGGGATTATGTAACAAACAGCGGTACCATGAGACATTATAGATGCTAAATGAAATACCATTGTTATAATATCTACAAAATGGTGAATAAAGATCTTGTCTTTGTATTTTATTTTTATTTTACAAAAATATTGATTAGCCCTTAGGCCACATCACAATTCCAAACCAAACAAGGCTTGATAAGTTTTAATTGCACTCTATTTAAGTTAAAATAAGACACTTATAGCAATATAGTAAATAAACATAAGATATGATAAAACTGATAAAACTGAGTATACACTCGAGCTAGATTCAAACAGCTTGATACAATGGTCAGATATGGGAGATTAAATAGCATCCCTTATAATGAACGAATTCGTATCTGTGGAGCACCTGAAATTGAGGATATAGCACACATATTATTTGATTGTTAATTGTATCAGAAGGTAAGAGAGTTCTACTTTGGTCCATATATTTTCTCTTTGTACATATGTCACAAACTATTAATATCTGTCCTATTCAGAACATACTCTTTTATTATGTTTAAGTGTATACAATTTAGAAAGCATTTTAAAACAGTTCCTTTTGATTCATTGAAGCGAGAATAAAACAACACACTCAATTACAGATACATTCATTACTAAAATCAATAAAAACATCTGTTTCAGTATAAACCTAGAACACAAGGTTGTTTTTATTTGGACAGCTGCTCTACTCCATCCAAGGACCTCATTACACCAGAGAATGAATCCACTTTAAATCCAGTTTCTGCCTCCTGCAGAATTCTGGGGTTTGTAGTTTAGGGAGGAGCCTTTAACAGCCCAGCAGGAGGCAGAAACCAGATTTAAAGTGGATTCATTCTCTGGTGTTATGAAATAGTAAGACTGGATCACAATAGCCTGTGGGCACAAGTGAGATACACTCTCCTCCTGATTTCCTTTGTTAAAATATAAACACTGGTTAACATCAGAATTATAACATTATCAATGTATGTCTTGTAATTCTTTGGAGTACCTAATAACAGAATTTAAAATCTATCCAAGGTATCACCAATGAAATTTAAATTTTCTTATTCAATTGGAAGCAACCATGCACTTTTCAATACATTACCAGTATAAAGTTACAAGTTTGGATAATGTTACAGAACTAGACAATATTATATAGGAAAACGGTTGTAAATCAAGTCAAAGAATGTTTGCACATCATCAGCTGTGGCATCCCTTTTAGGATTCAAGTATGTTGTTTTTGGTTTGCATGCATTTCCCTCACATGAACATTTTAACTTCATGGCTTGAGTGAATTAAATTAGTATTTCTCTTTTCAGTGTTTCCAGAAAATGTCATAGGCATTTCAAGTATGTGCGAGACTGTGTCACCGAAGGAGAAATTACTACAATAAATTGGTCATAACTGAAACAAGGGTAAATCAATAAAAAAACGATCAACTGCATCTCCTAAGAGGGGTATGTCTCCTTTGTCCCTGCATTATTCTTGGCATACTACTCACTCTTCCATATATATGTGATAATCCTATCTAGATCATAATAAGAAATCTAGAATTATGTGGTGATTTCAACCATCATACTCAGTATGAAGAAAATGCATAATGTGAGAACGTGCCCTTTTAAATAGATTGAACAGGCTTTGATTGTACTGAAATTTTCAAAAGAAAAGAAAAAAATGAAATATTCTGAAAGCTTTCAAATGAATGCATAACACAACAAAACAATGGGACAAGCAGATTTTCAACTATTGCACAAAGCTCTTTTGTATGATTTCAACAATGCAGGTTGCAGAGATAGACTGAGCAGAGGATATGAGAAAGGTGTAGATAACCATAGGAGGGAAGAAGATTGTACTGGGGTGCCAGAAGGAGTGAATGCACTGCATGTACTCCAGAAAGTACACCATCACATTAACATTTGCCGACCCTCCAGGAGTTAGATCATATACAGAACATAATGGTTTGACACTAGAATGCTCACTCAACCTTGAGTGAGTGTGATGTTTCCCCCTAGTAATGATTGGTTGAGCATTGATTCTTGGGGTTTGAAGTCCCTATCTAGTAACACAAGCTAGTAGAACTCTAAAACATTACGCCCAAAAGAAAATATTGATTCAGTCATTAGCTGCATATAGATTTCACTCACTCAGGTGTATACATATACCATCTGCCCTAGCAATATAATCCATCATTCTCTGCCTCCAAAATATTCATTAATCTCTTTGTAAATCTGCTTTGTAAATTATCACATACCTACTTTATCATTCATTACAGAGAAAGAGATTTGGAATTTTGGAGCTATTAAAAGAACTGAGATAACAACTAGTTGAGTATCCCTTATCTGAAATGCTTGGGACCAGAAGTGTTTTGCTTTTTGGATTTTTTAAATTTTATTTTGGATCATCTGTATTTGCATGAATGTACATAATAAAATATATTGGAGATGAGACCCAAATATAAATAAAAAATGCATTAATGTCTAATATATACCATAGCTTGAAGGTAATTTCATACAACATTTTAAATAATTTTGTGTGTGAAACAACGTTTGTGTACATTGAACAATCTGAAAATGCAAAGGTGTCACTATCTTAGCCACCATGATGAATAATTTTGCATTTTGGAGTATTTGGATTTCAGAATTCTGGATAAGGGATGATCAACCTGGAACATCAAACTTCCTCCAAGTTAAAATGAATCCATAAATTCCTTGTGCATTTCAAAAAGTACCATAGTAATTGAAAAAAATATATTAAAATTTCTTAAAGCCTCTCTGTAGGATCAGTAGGACTGTATATGCTAAATCCTAAATCCAGTTATGGAATATTGGCTCTAGGTTATACTAGACACTATTATGGGTTGCCATGATATTGTCATCCTTGAGTAGGTACTCTCAACAAGTAAACTATTGGTTTCAGGCCAGAGAGTGAAAACGTATCATTATTAACAGCATGGCTGTTGCATAAGGTCATTCCAGCTGGTTGTTTCTAGTTACCTGGAGAACCAGATGCATATAAAGCTGGCAACATTATATGCCACAGTTTTCACAACAGGGAAAAGCAATACATATGATAACCATCCGTTTGTTACTTGCCAGGAGTCTACAGGACATTAACTCTGGCTTGATTTACACTGCCATATAATACAGTTTGGAACTACACTATATGGTCAGTATAGAGCTGTATAATAAAGTTTAATTAAACTACATTATAAGGATCTACACTCACTATATAATGCAGTGCTTAACCGATCCATATAAAGTGTAAATTCAGTCTCTGTCCCCAAGCAGTTAGAAGCAGGCCACTGTATAGCTTATCATAACTCAGTGGTAAAAGGCTGTTCATAGCTTTGCCCACTTGGGATTAACCTCTACCATGAATACAAGCAACTTATTGTTTGAAGAGACATATTAAGTAGGAGAAGAATTTTCTACTGTAGAATAGGAGAAAAAAACCTCAATGGAACACTATTTTGGGTGAATTTCTGGTTTACTAAAGTGTTGACCAACTCAGTGAAATAGTTTTATTACAGCAAAGCGATGCACTTGCACACATGAAGTAAGTGTCTGAGCAGTAGGTGAAAAAACTGAGGCTTGTGTGGGTACCTCCAAGTATAAAGGAATATAATATTTCATAAGGCATCTGTATTGGAAAGAATAAGCACTATGAACACTCCAGGTGCTTATGGTTTGCTTCCAGTAGATGGCTCACTCCTCTAGCCAAAACTAGCATCAATTTATTCTTAGTGATTATTTCACAAGAAGAAGAAAAAGGAAAGGGGAATTTTCTGATTAACCTCAGCTTGACTTCAGGTCCATTGTTAAAAAAGTATATTCTAATAACAGACCTAATGGGCACTTGAATTAAGGACTTTAAATTTGCTCAATTCAGTAATTAAGTTACATTCAAACCAACCTTGTTATGTTTTCTAAAGCAGCACAACCTGAACAAATGTTCTCTGTCCTTTCCAAACCCTTCCCAAACCTAACCCCAGAGCGTAATTGCTAATGGCAACAGGATGGGCATTTTGGGTAATATAACAACACTGCTGGAGAAGCATCTTATCAGTTGGAGAAACAGCAATATGGTACAAGGAGAAATGTGCCATTCTGATTTCCTCCTTAGAAGGAGAATGGGAAAAAGTTTTCAGTTTTCATTTAATAAGAAGGAAAATGAATTGGTGGCAGAATCAGAAGTTAAATTGATACTATGGGATATCATCCTGTTATACTTCTTTCAAAAGGTAAAATGCCATCCTTAGGAACTAGATCTAATCATCTATTGTTGTTCATTCGTTCAGTCGTCTCCGACTCTTCGTGACCTCATGGACCAGCCCACGCTAGAGCTCCCTGTCGGCCGTCACCACCCCCAGCTCCTTCAAGGTCAGTCCAGTCACTTCAAGGATGCCATCCATCCATCTTGCCCTTGGTCGGCCCCTCTTCCTTTTTCCTTCCATTTCCCCAGCAATTGTCTTCTCTAGGCTTTCCTGTCTCCTCATGATGTGGCCAAAGTACTTCAACTTTGTCTCTAGTATCCTTCCCTCCAGTGAGCAATCGGGCTTTATTTCCTGGAGGATGGACTGGTTGGATGTTCTCGCAGTCCAAGGCACTCTCAGAACTTTCCTCCAACACCACAGCTCAAAAGCATCGATCTTCCTTCGCTCAGCCTTCCCTAAGGTCCAGCTCTCACATCCGTAGGTTACTACAGGGAATATCATGGCTTTGACTAGGCGGATCTTTGTTGCCAGTCTGATGTCTCTACTCTTTACTATTTTATCGAGATTGGACATTGCTCTCCTCCCAAGAAGTAAGCGTCTTCTGATTTCCTGGCCACAGTCTGCATCTGCAGTAATCTTTGCACCTAGAAATACAAAGTCTGTCACGGCCTCCACGGTTCTCCCTCTATTTTCCAGTTGTCAATCATTCTTGTTGCCATAATCTTGGTTTTTTTGACGTTTAGCTGCAACCCGGCTTTTGCGCTTTCTTCTTTCACCTTGATTATAAGGCTCCTCAGCTCCTCCTCGCTTTCGGCCATCAGAGTGGTGTCATCTGCATATCTGAAGTTGTTAATGTTTCTTCCAGCAATTTTCACCCCAGCTTTGCATTCATCAAGCCCCGCACATCGCATGATGTGTTCTGCATACAAGTTAAAAAGGTTGGGTGAGAGTATGCAGCCTTGCCGTACGCCTTTCCCAATCTTGAACCAGTCTGCTGTTCCGTGGCCAGTTCTGACTGTTGCTACTTGGTCCTTGTACAGATTCCTCAGGAGAGAGACAAGGTGGCTTGGGATGCCCATCCCACTAAGAACTTGCCACAATTTATTATGATCCACACAGTCAAAGGCTTTAGAATAGTCAATGAAGCAGAAGTAGATGTTTTTCTGAAACTCCCTGCCTTCCTCCATTATCCAGCGGATATTGGCAATTTGGTCTCTCGTTCCTCTACCTTTTCTAAACCCAGCTTGAACATCTGGCAACTCTCGCTCCATGTATTGCTGGAGTCTTCCTTGCAGGATCTTGAGCATTACCTTACTGGCATGAGAAATAAGGGCCACTGTACGAAAGTTTGAGCAGTCTTTCACATTTCCCTTTTTTGATATGGGGATATTAGTTGATTTTTTCCAGTCTGATGGTCATTCTTGTGCTTTCCATATTTGCTGGCATATGGCATGCATCACCTTGACAGCATCATCTTTTAAGATTTTAAACAGTTCAGCTGGGATCCCGTCCTCCTGCTGCCTTGTTGTTAGCAATGCTTCTTAAGGCCCATTCAACCTCACTCCTCAGGATGTCTGGTTCTAATTCATTCACCACACCGTCAAAACTATCCTCAATATAATTATCCTTCCTATACAGATCTTCTGTATAGTCTCGCCACCTTCTCTTGATCTCTTCAGCTTCTGTTAGGTCCCTGCCATCTTTGTTTCTTATCATACCAATTTTTGCCTGAAATTTACCTCCGATGTTTCTAATTTTCTGGAAGAGGTCTCTTGTCCTTCCTATTCTGTTGTCTTCTTCCACTTCCATGCATTGCTTATTTAAAAATAGTTCCTTATCTCTTCTGGCTAACCTCTGGAATTGCGCATTTAACTGGGCATATCTCCCCTTATCACTGTTTCCTTTTGCTTTCCTCCTTTCTTGGGCTACTTCCAGTGTCTCAGCAGACAACCATTTTGCCTTCTTGGTTTTCTTTTTCTTTGGGACGTACTTTGTTGCCGCCTCCTGAACAATGTCTCGGCCTTCTGTCCATAGTTCTTCTGGGACTCTGTTTACTAAATCTAGTCCTTCAAATCTGTTCTTCACTTCCACTGTATATTCGCTAGGAATGTTAGTGAGATCATATCTAACTGGTCTGTGTATTTTCCCTGATCTCTTTAGTTTTATTTTAAATTGAGCAATAAGAAGTTCGTGATCTGAGCTACAGTCAGCCCCAGGTCTTGTTTTCACCGACTGGATGGATGTCCGCCACCTTTGGCTGCAAAGGATGTAGTCAATCTGATTTCGGTGTTGACCGTCTGGTGAGGTCCATGTGTAAAGCCGTCTTTTAGGATTGTTGGAAGAGAGTATTCGTTATACACAGCGAGTTTTCCTGGCAAAATTCTATCAGCCTGCGTCCCGCTTCATTTTGTTCTCCCAGACCATGCTTGCCTGTGATCCCAGTTGTCATTTGACTTCCCACCTTGGCATTCCAGTCTCCTGTAATGAAAATAATGTCTCTTTTTGGTGTATTATCCAGTAGGTCCTCCAGATCCTCATAGAACTGATCTACTTCTGCTTCTTCAGCAGCTGTGGTTGGGGCGTATATTTGGATCACTGTAATGTTGAAAGGCTTTCTTTGCACTCGAATTGAGATCATTCTGTCATTTTTTTGGGTTGTATCCAAGCACCGCTTTAGCGAATTTCTTATTAATTATGAAGGCTACTCCATTTCTTCGATGTTCCTCTTGTCCGCAGTAGTAGATCTGGTGGTCATCTGATGTGAAGTGGCCCATTCCAGTCCACTTCAGTTCGCTGACCCCCAGAATGTCTATCTTTAGTCTTGACATCTCACTAATAACATCCAATTTGCCCTGGCTCATAGATCTTACATTTCAGGTTCCTATGGTGTGTTGATCTTTAGAACATCGGATTCGTCGTTCACCTCCAGTACCGTCGGCCGCTAGCCTTCCTTTCGGCTTTGAGCTAGCTGCGTCATCACATCTGGGGCTAGTTGAACTTATCCTCTGCTCCTCCCCAGTAGCATTTTGGCCATCTTCCGACCTGGGAGTCCCATCTTCCAATGGCATACCGACATATCTCTGGTTGTACTGGTCCATTTAGTTTTCTTGGCAAGGATACTGGGGTGGTTTGCCATTGCCTTCCCCAGGGATCACGCTTGGTCTGACCTCTCTGCCACAACCGTCCCGTCTTGGGTGGCCCTTCACGGTTTCGCTCATGACATCATTGAGGTGCTCAAGCTCCAGCGCCCCGACAAGGCGGTGATCCTTTGCTGGAGAATCATCTATTAAGATGTACTTAATCTGTAGGAATTGAGAACTTGAAGATTATGAAGAATATAAAATCAAGACCACAATCCTATAACTGTATTTGTCCGGCAATATGTACCACTGAGCAGCACAATCGATTTATTCAAGTATATTTATTCAAAAGTACTGAAAGTGTTTCTTGGTACAATTAGACAGAAGTAGAAATCACGAGGACAGCGAGTTATTAAACAGTAACTCAGAATTCCTCACCATTGGCTGAGGGTCCATCTGCATTGCAGAATTAATGCCATCAGATACAACCCATCTTTGTATTTGAATGTTTCTTGCTAAGTGTCTTATGGTTTCCTCCCCTCTCACCTTTTTATTATTGTCATTGGCTAATGTATAGTTTCTTTCTCAAATTAGCATGTGCATTTTTCATGGTGAACCCCTACCCCATCCCCACCAAAATGTTCATCATGACTTTAGGATCCTCTCGATCTCTCCAAAAGGCTTATTGAGATCACTACACATGCATTGGATTTCCCTTTTCACCATAAACCAAATGCCATTTTGAACAATATTACCTGGTAGAAAGTAAAATAAAAAAATAAAATGGTTTTATATCTTTATAAGCAATTATTGTTTTGGTTAGATAGTCGGGGTTTAACACGAGGAAGTGCACATAATTCCAATCATGTGCCTGAATTATTCTTGAAGCACGTGGTTATGGCAGATTGTAGAATCATTCCTACCTTTCTGTTTCTGAGGCAGAGACTTTCCTAGTTTGTTTTTGATTGCTATATCTTTCCACCTTTCTGGAATGCCTGTGGAATGAGATGCCAAAAAAAAAGAAAAGAAAGAAAGCAATCCAGGAATTACATCATGTAACTCAAGCAAAACAAACTAGCAGATGGAAGTATCAAAACTAGGTTTTATGAATGGTTAATGAATATGCCCTTTCAAAAAATCCTATCCACCAACATAGTGAAGCACAGAAAGCTTCACTAGAACAGAAACAAAAAGCTAAATGACACCTCTCTTTGACATTGGTTGTTTCAGGTCTTTTGAATACACTTATACGTGAGGGTCAGGCATTGGTGGCCCATGTGGGTCTTACCTTACCATTTCAAAATGAGGTCTTGTTCAGCCCCAGCTTGGATTACAAGTAGCCTGTGATGCCAAGAAACTATAGACTCCATTCCATAGTAGTACTTAGCATAAAGTCTAAGGATTTAAGCACATTCCTCTTGGTGACTAGGTAATTGACTACTTTTGTGTCTTATCTTCAGATAACAGAAATATAGAAAACATTGTCCAATTAAATGTTAAAAAGTGTGGGGGAAAAACACTTGTGAAATTCAAACTAATGTGAAATTCAAAAAAAGAGTGAACCAGTATTTTTCAGTTATTTAGGCCAAACACTACAAAGTACTAAGGTTGTAACATTCCAGAAGAATCTATCACAGAATGCTTGCACACAAAATGCCCCAAAAGCTTTAAAAGTTGTTCTTGGATGATGTTGTTAAATGATGGGCCCAATCAGGAGAAATCTTCCCCCCCCCCCCTATGGTTCATGTTTTTGCTTACTGGTAACAATGCAAACATGCATTTGAGAGCATTTGCAGATCTTCTTAGACACAGGGCCAGAAGTGATGGGTCAGTTGCATTAGCTTTACAAAGCTGAGCCCAAAGTACTGAACCAATGCTACCTTGGTAGCTTCTCAATGGCATGCATTATTTCCAGGTTGCATTATGTGGCACCATGTATTGATTACAACATGCCATGTATTTTTGCTGGTCAAATGGTAAAACAGAAAGGGTAGGTAGAAGATAAAATCCAACTAATTGGGGGAAAAAATCTGTCCACCACCTAGTTGCAGTAGCACCTTGTGGGTTCCATGTCCTGTCTCAATTTAATCCCGATCTTCAAAAGAGCTATCCAAGATGCTGAACCCGATCCCCAAAATACTTTTAATATGTTGGACATCTTCAGATTACAGATTCAAACCCAGGGGAAAATCAGCATCATAATCACATGCAAGACACCAGCTATTTCAGCTCGGTAATCAATTTATAATTTATTTGATACCAAACTGGCCACAAGAACCCAAATTAAAATAGTTTATTTTTGCTAGGTGAACAAGTTTCAGGATTTTTTTAATTAGCATTGTTTTATTACCCAGGTTTTTTTCATTCTGTACTGACATCCAGAACAAGTTTGTCATAGGTCCAGACACCAGAAAGATAGTTGATGAGAACAGATGAGGTGCCAATAGGCTGTGTTAATGTCATCTCTTTTACACTTGAATCACAGCACTCCGGTTTGAAACAACCATTAGCATATGTAGGATATGAAAGCTTGCAAATATGTGAGCAACCAATTTGGATCAAAGAAACATAACAAGGAAATTTGATATCTATTTGAGCATTTTGCTGCTTTAGATTCAATGAGGATGATGCGATGTAAATATCTGTTCATGTCATTATAGGTCTAATGTGAACATTATGCCTCCGTATAAAGAAATAGTTTGAATATCCATAATGCTATTTCTCAGGGATTTATAATGACCAAATCATCTTTAGTGTACTAGGTCAGTATTGCATTTTTATTGTGATTCACAACCCTACATTCCCTGGCACTAAGCTACATAGAGTTTTTAGGATAGTAATTCATGTCCTTATACATTGTATGTGTCTTGGTGCATTATCAAAAATTTGTGAACTGAGATCACCAGGACCCAAATCACCAGGCCACAAAACTCCACAGTAATTACTGAAATTACTGGTGTCCTACTGTTCGATCCAGAAGGAGAGTTCAAGTAAGAACTTTTAGGATACATTTAATGAGTAATTAAAATATATTAATGAATTTAATAAAGCTGATGAAGCTGAATACGATAAACGTGGCCCAAAAACGTATAATCATTTATAATATAATAATCATAATAATATAATAATGGTTTTAAAACACTATTTCACACTTAATGAACATCACACTTCAAGATAATTTAACAAGGATACCTCTGTGTTTCTTCTGGATTAGCACTTAGGAAGTTTAAAGTATCTTGTTTTGGAATGCAAGACTCCAGCGGTGGTGTGGCTCTTCACAAGTATTGGAAACATGGAAGTGAAAGTTCAACAGAATGGATAGAAACAGAATAGAAACAGAGAGATGGTCACATGCAGTGAAGATGGAGGCATGCAGTCAAGATATTCTCTATGACCCATGAACATTCCCATATTACATCCAAGGAACATTTATGAAAAGTTAAAAATAATATATGATGTAACAATAATAACACAAAACATTAATAAAGGCTTAAGACAAGAATACATCATCTGATATGTCTTCTTTTCCATATGTGGAATGCCCTCATCAGAATGTTTTATTTGGTACCTTCTTTCATTATTCCTTCTTAAAAGCTGGTGGAGATATTTTAGGAACTAGATTTTCTAAAATATATGTTCACTACATTTTAATACATTTTTGCTTAGACTGTGCTTCAAAGTAAATGTAATACTATAAAAATTATTGAACATCCCTATCATGTTTTCATCTTTCTTTCATTATTAGTTTGATTGAATGCAATTTTCCTGCTTCTTGGCAGAGGGTTGTATTGGATGGCCCACAAGGTCTCTTCCAACTCTATGATTCTATCATGGTTTTCCCGTACCTTTTGTGTATTACAGTATATATGAACGCAGTTTTTGGATGCTGATAGAGTATGTTTTGTATTGTCACCCAACAATTATATTAAAAATTCTCAATGGTCCCTCGTGTCCAGGCTACCTGAAGCATCAAAGTCTCCCACATTAGGCTGCCTGGTCTTTGAGATCTTCAGGCGAAGTCTTTTCCTGGGACTCACCCCCCATGTAGCCACAATTAGTGGGGTCCTCTAAATGGTGGCTCCTGGGCTCATCTGAAACCTCCTTTTAAAGGAAACTAGGTTAGTTCCACCTGTTTTGTCCCTCCATTGAGAAGCAAACATTTTTTTATTCCAACAGACTTTGGGGAACTGGTTTTAAGGAAAGACATCTAAGGCTGGATCTACACTGCCATACAATACATTTTGAATCTGCATTGTATGGTCAGTGTAGAACCATATGATGAAGATTCAAATGGCATTATATGGCAATGTAGATCCAGCCCTAATTATTTTAGCAGTTCGGTGCATGTATACATACAAATCAAGCATCCCTAACCCGGAATTCTGAAACCAAAATTGTCCACCTCGGAGGCTGAGATAGTGAACAGTTTGCTTTTGATGGTTCAGTGTACCCAAACTTTTTTCATGAACAAAATTTTCCAGGCTATGTGAATAAGGTATATATGAAACATTAATGAATTTTGTGTTTAGACTTGAGTCCCATCACCAGGACATCTCACTGTGTGTATATCAACGTATTCCAAAATCGGGGGGGGGGGGGGCACTAAAATCCAAAACATTTCTGGTCCCAAGAAGTTCGGCAAAGAGATACTCAAACTGTAATTTAATTGTTTTCATGTTGTAAACCACCCAAGAAACAGATTTTTTGGAGAAAGGTTGAGCTATTAAACAAACAAACAAATATGTAAGACAGAAAAAATGTTATCGGGTCACTGGAGTATTAGCAGAAAAGAAAATGTTAGTCATAATGGAAAGGACTATAATTTCATTCCCTTTGCCTTCTTATTGTTGTTGCTGTTAGATGTAAAGCCTTCCACTGTAACCTGGCACAATGAAAACCTAACTTCTTCAGTGCAGATATAAAGCTTTAGTACTTGAAGACTGTGGGACATGATCTGTCATCTGGATCAACACATTTGAAATGCTGATCTATGCTTCATTCTTCTTTTAAAATATAGAATGTGCATGTCTTTTCTTTTTTTAAACATGACTTCATGTGAAGTTACAAGCCCTGAAGACCTATGAATGATAAGGCTGGGGGATATTCTCACAATCAAGCAGGGAGAGGGGCTTTGAGATTGAGAAAATTTGTAATTCCACACTTTAATTAATAAGTGATATATTTTTGTATGGATTTCTTTCTTGTTTTGTCAGATTTTAAGGAAATGTGCATTTTTGGTGAGAACAAATCTATTAAATATCCAATTTGGAAATCATGTATATTCTGTTTGTCTATATTTGCGTTGACCTATCTAGTGGCCATGCTCTTTCTCCTGTTTTGTGATGACCTTTGATTTTAACAATTAAGGTCTGATAGATAAATCAGCATTATTTATTTCACAAATAACATATTGTGGAACATACAGGCTATGTTTATAATCCAAGTACAGTATTGCATTATGAATCAAATAAGAAAACCAAAGACGACAACAAAAAGCCAATGAAAAAATGTCTACAGATATCACATTTGGCCAATCAGCATATCAGGAGAAATCTAAAGCACCGGAATTGTTAAGAAAACCCTGGAGCCTCTAGAATTTTTACTTAGGAAACTTCTGATTACAAAAAACATATCATACCATTGATTTTTCCCAATTTTTTCAAATATTGCTGTTTTGTTTTTTTTGGTCGTGTCAGGAGTGACTCCTGGTGTGAGAGAATTGGCCGTCTGCAAGGACGTTGCCCAGGGGACACCTGGATGATTTGATGTTTTTATCATCCTTGTGGGAGGCTTCTCTCATGTCCCTGCATGAGGAGCTGGAGCTGATAGAGGGAGCTCATCCGCCTCTCCCCGGATTCGAACCTGCGACCTGTCGGTCTTCAGTCCTGCCGGCACAGGGGTTTAACCCACTGCGTCACCGGGGGCTTCCAATAGTGCTGATGGGGATGCAGTATTTAGTCTACAGTCCAGCTATAGGGCAGGGAGACTTAAAACAATTTGTCTGAATAAGTTTAAGTAAGCCTACTGGTAACTTTTCTACATTATGGCTTCTAGAAGTTGTTCTGAAAAGAAACAGGCTGAATTCTACATACTAGGGTGCAACCTATGAACAAATCCTTACAGGGTTCAATGGGATTTACTTACTAGTGGACTTGTTTTGCTGAAATTCAGCCTGAATGAATTATAAAATACCAAATTGAAATAATAATCTGCACAGTGATCTTATTATTGAGTAGGAAGGAAGCATACTGTAGATTCATAATTTCTGCAAAGAACTTAAGAGAAAGTACTCATGTTTGTAACAGAACAACATCCAAATAATTTGTACTAAGACCAGTTTGGGGAGCTGCTTTAAATTCAGTATTCCTCATCAGCTAGAAGGGTTTTTAATTCCTTTCTTTCATTTCCCTCGGATTTATGAATTTCTTATCCTTATAAGAAATACTAAATTTGGAATTCCAGATCATGTTGTCCCAAGAGTCAAACTTCAAATTCTTAGCTAGGAAGGGTATTTCTATAAATCTTCAGTACGATGTCAACCAGTGCTTTCTTTTCAGGACAGCCAGCTATGGTGGATTAAACTATTCATATAAACACATTTTGGTGCCTCAAATGTTAAGACCTGTTTCTGGGTACATTTGACCTGCTGTTTCCAAAAATGGCACCAGTGCCCCCCCCCCCCCATCTGCTCTAGTTTCTGAGATACGGATGCCATTTACCAATCTTTAGCTGCTCGCCCATAGAAAACCATGGTAACCATATCTAAAAAAATAGAATGGATGAAGTCTATCCAATGCAATTTTCTGAATCAGTGCCCCAAATAACCCCAGAAATGGGCCTAAAAACCAAGACACCAAGAAATTATTTTGTTGTTGTTGTTGTTGTTGGGCTATTTAATAGGTGGCATATTTTTATATATTTAACTTATGAACAATCAAAGCTGTTTTACTTGTATAATCATGGCCTGGAACTCAGGAATGGCATTTGAACCAGGATTCCTGTCATCTGGAATTTTAAATACATGTCTTTCAAAAATGCACCTGCAAGATTCACCAAGTCACTTTGCAGTTAGGAGGAACTGACTAGTACCTGTCATCCTCCGGAGATGCATGTTGGATATGAATCCGGGGACTAGTAGGCCGTCTCCTATCTAGAGACGGAGACCATCTATGTCTGTTGATTCATCCAACAAAATAGGAAAAAAACACAACATTTAATATATGATTTTTTTAAAGGAAGTAGAGAGGGTTTGCAAGGAAACTGGAAAGTACCACAAAAAGTCAGCATTTACTTTTCCTACTTTTAAAAAACTTTGCAGTTATTGAATCAAGATCTATTTTGCAAATATTTTTCCACAGCAAGACTACAGTCCTTTACACAGTGGTGTACTTTCTTTGGTTAGTCAATAAAATAATATTACCTGCAGTTACAAATTAATTCTTTTTAAAATTTCAGTATTATTGCCAAGGTATCAATGGTTTTAATTAAACATTTAAAGGTCACTAGCTTGACTTAGGTTAGTCATATGACTACAGCCTGTTCATTGTTTGCTTCTTTAATCAACTGAATAAATGTGAATGATATTTTGGCGCTAGCAAAATGCAAGCACAATGTTACACTGCTAAGTATAGAGTGTGGTTCTTAGATACAGCAGTTTCTTTTCCTCAGACCTCCTAGCTGGGCATTGAAACAAAATCTTTATCCTGAGATTGAAATCTAGACTCATATATCTTGACTGGTAGTAGGACTCTGGGATCTCAGCATGTCTCTCCAGCTCTGTGAAGACGTATCAATTGAGCTGCTATAAACTTACATTATGCTCCTTGATATGCTACTACTTTGTGATCATTCAGTATATTACCAGCAGCTGCTATTTCTTAGCTTTAGAGAATCCTGCCCACTTGTCACTCAAGTGCTGTGCTCAATCACCTTTTTTCCATCTCACAATATATCTTTCTGTATATATTTTCTGTAACCCCCACACTGCAGAAATAATTTATGCTTACTGCATTCTGTTTGTTGAAAATAACCCACTTTCCTATCTGTGACATTAATAATTATTCATTTATTTTTCTTGGTTGTCTGCAGTCACAGAAATTGGAACAGAGACTGAAAGAAGCAAATAATAAACAGACACAAATTGCCTTAATCAGAATGTGGAACTGACATTACAAAAGCAGAGGTTTGTTTTCTTTCTCTCCCTTTTTCTCCCTCTCCTACTATTTTTGATAAGCTTGCCTGTTTAAAAACGTTCAGTGGTTTACTATTCTTCATTGTTTGGTATTATAAAAGTGTGTTGAACAAATGTGAGGAGTGCACTACAGTAGGCCCTCCTTTTTGCAGGTGTTAGGAGTGCAGGACCCCTGCCAAAGTGTAAAAACTATGAACATGTTTTTTAACCTTAGAGAGCATATCTCTTTGAGTCTTTAGATCCTCCAGGGCAACTCTATGGTCAATGCATGCCAGAAGTTGGCCATGGAATTGTGGTAGGGGGCCTCGAGATTCCTAGAGAAATGTCACCCAGCCCTGAATGATTTAGGGATCCCTATTGAGAACATATTAATCAAATCTGCAAATCCATTCTACAAAAATGAAATTCAACAATATGGAGGGGTAACTATGATTCTTCTGCCCTCCAGATAAATCACAGTTGCCCTCCATATTAATCTTCTTCTGGAGAAAACAGTTTTAAAAGAATATGGATATGGGAAAATATGTTACTTTCTCAAAAATCATTGAGTAGATTTCCATGGCTGAACAGAGACTTAAAATCTGATTTCTCAGAGTCCTAGGCTAATACTCAAACCACTTCACCACACTGGCTCCCAGTGAACTATGATGAAAAGATAATAATCAGCACATGACAGTGCAGATACTCTGTTTTATATCCAGAGCCATATTTATTGCTTAATTATTAGTGCCTAATTATTTCTGCAGGCTGTGTAGTAATAAGCATATTGGGGTATGATTGCAAAGTGCATTACAACCTCAACCAACCTGCCTGATCCTTTAATAGGAGGAATACTAAACTTCAACAAGCTGTGTGCCAAGAACCAGTTGACAAAATGAACCAGATTTTTATAACAAAAACAAATAATAGGTTCTCTTAGCAGTGTAACATTTTAAGCAAACTCTTCTTGATATTAGCTGCACTTTTTGCAGTACTTTCCAGTTTATGGATTAAAGAGCACTTTTTAAAAACACTGAGTATAAGCAAACTACTTTGGGAAGAGGAAGCATTGCGGCATATTAGTAAAATTGCTTGGGTATTTTAGGAGGTTGTTAGTAAGCAGCTGCTGAAGAATATTGAGGATACCAGTGCACTCAAAGCCCTTAATATGCTGATATCTTGTTTAGTTTTAAAATGAGAAAAAACATTACAGTGAAATAATGTGCATTTTGATATCTGAAAAAAAAACATGATTTCACACGTTATGTCTTAATGCCATGAAACATAATGTGCTCAATTAAAATGTGGAACAACATGCAACAGAGTAGGTTTCCAGAACTGACAGCAATGATAAATCACAGCAACCTGCGTAACTTCATACACAACTGGAAGACTGCATCCAAGTAAGAAGCACACTCAGACAGAAGTCACAGTCAGACAATTCTCACAACAGCATATGCAGTCAAGATGCAAAAGTCTGCTGAAATCTTATATGACCCATTACATTATCTAACTTTACACATATTTAGCCATGTAGCAGAGACACTTGGAGACCATGTTACTGAATTGCAAAGAGGCATAACAATGCAATAGAAAGAGCTCCCAATGTGTGTTGGTGTCCAATGTTCATCTGGACCAGTATGTGTACTGTGAATGATGTACATGGTTCCTATTGTGGACTGCGAACCTATCAGGCACTTTGCTGGCTCTGCTACATAATAACACTACACCAGTTTCCTACTGGCTCTGGACGTCACATCACCACACAATTTTAAATCCATTTACAATTATGTAAATTCCAAACAGAATTTCTGAGTCTATCTTCTGAATACCCTGAAAAGTTCTAGGAAATATGAGCAATCACTATAAGGAAGTGACTCTTTGAAACTTGAAATCCAAGCAATCACTATGAGGAAGTGATTCAAGGTACATTCTTAGGACTACTTTGGTCTGGAACAGTCATTTCCAGGGAGCAGGACTGAAATTCATGGTTATCTCATCACCAAGGTTATCAGCAGGGACACAAAGATTTAGAATAAAGTTAGGGGATCCCTGTTTCAAAATTTTCTGTTTCATATACTACCGGAATATACCTAGAAATATTGTCATCCTGTTCAGAAAGATAGGATACCACAATGGATGTCACTTCATGATCAGGAATCCAAAGATTAATGCATTATGGTTTTTAGGTATATGCCTAGGAGTTTTGAAGGTAGTAATCTAAAAAAGTAATCAATAAATGAGGCATTATTGAAAAAATATCTCTTACACCAATATATTAATTCAGGAGGCAGGATTGGCTACCACAGGCTGCTAAGTATACACTTAGAAGCAAACCAACCAGCCATGTTATGTGCAGAATGACCCTAAAGATCAGTCTAAAACAGTTAAGCTTGAAAAATTACTTTTTAAAAGTTAATTATTTGTAGAACTTATTACATACTACTCCTCAAAACTTACCATGGGATTTAGAATAATCTCTTAAATTAGTCATTGTACCATTTGTTGTTTTAGGTCCATTTTTAGGAAATAAATATTTAAACATAAGAAATGACCTAAATTCAGGTGATCAGATCTTCAAAATGTCTTCAGAAGCTTTTTGGATCCTCCAAAGTAATGGACAGGTAAGAAGTGAACTCTATTTATTACATAAGAAAGAGATGTATGTCACAAATTACCTTATTTGCAAAAGTAAACCTGCTCTGTCTTTGTAACGACAAAAGTAATACATTACAAATTTGGATTCAGTTATCTGAAATACTTGGGAGAAGAAGTGGCTTGCATTTCAGGTCCTCCGTTCCCCCCCCCTCCCTCCAACTGCCCAAATTTTAGAGTATTTTTACATACTGAGATATCTTGGAGGTGGGGCCCAAATCTAAACACAAAATTCATTTAATCCAAACATGGTGCTTGATATGAATCTATCACTGCTACCATTTCACAGATCCTCATGTCTCTCTCCAGCTTCCCATCCAGGTTTTTTTTTTTTTTTTGCTTATTGTGTTATGAGATGCAAGCTTGGAAACTTACAGAGGATCTGGGAGACAAGCAATGGAAAAGGCCTGATATTTGGTGTTATAGGGGAGATACAGTACGGTACTGTACAGGGGATCTCCTGCCAGTTGCAAGAACTGAAGATGAAAAAAATAGTTTGCAGTGGCTTATGTTGTTGTTGTTTTTTTTAAAAAAAAATTCCCCCCCCTTATATAATCTTGAAGGTGCAAATATTCGTGTTGATGTTTAGAATTGATACAATGCCCTCAAGACTCTCTTGCCTACTGCAACAGCAGCAATGCATCTATTTACTTGTTTCTTATAGTAAAAAAACATTAGTTCGGTGTGTTCAGCCAAGTGCTGACTGTCAGCTGTACTGACCTATTACCATGTAGGGTAATAGATGGAGGCTTTTAATGTGATGCCCTTAATGGGAAAACAAGGCTCGCCGCCAATGCCATCATTCCACATGAGACTATGAGCACGCCACTTTCCTAAATTTACACTATGTGCAGTTTCTGTACCACAGGCATGTATAGATGAATGAAACTTTATTGTTTGATTTATATACTGTATAAAATTCTACATGATATTTTGCAGCCAAGCCAGAGTATCTGGGTTAATGTTACAGATGACTGTTCATCTCCTATAATAGCTGATTCAACTTGCCAAGTGTCAAGCTAAAAGAATATAAATATAGTTTATAGACTATAAATATGCTGCTTCAAAAATATATCAAATGTGTATAAAATGCACAGGCAAGGGAACTGTTTTGAATTATCCAAAATATTTTGTGAAACAAGACCTCCAAGCACTATTCTACCACTTAAGATATAGTAATATACACAATCCCTCTGAAAGAAATATATTGCTGAACACAATGACATTCTCTATATAACAAGACATTACACTGAATAGACAACAGCAGGATGCTTGCAGAGAAATTAAGGCCCAAATCATATATTTATAAGGAGTGAGCAAAGTAATAGCTGTGCAAGCTCATACACTTCTACCACTGGTAGTTGGTGGGATCCACATCAGGTATGGTGAATTTGCTTTGTTCTGCTTAAGGTGCTCAACCAACTTAAAGGATAAGGTTCAGCATCTTGCATGTCTCCTTTAATGTTTGGACTACAAATAAGAACAGATTCATCGCCCTGCAGTTACCACCTGCCACTGATGCCTAGTCAAATAATTGAATGGGACCTACTTCCAGGTAAAGGAATGCTCTCAACTTGTAAGTGAAATGTACTGTGTATAGCACAAAATGTCAAGCACGCCACAATAAACTGTGGGAGGAGCCAGACATGCAAAGTTTTGATTTATATTATATTATCTTCTGTGGCCTTTTTTTGCCCCTGGCCGTATGGGTGGGAGAGAAGACAAAATGCATGGATTAGGAGTTATATGCACAGAAGCCCTTGTATAAGATCCATTTATTGTTGATGTTAACTGCCTGTAAAGTTGACTTCGACCTATGGAAACTGCATGAATGAGAGTCCTCCAAGTAACATTGTCATCAAAATCCCTGTTCAGGTCTTGCATGTTTAGATCTGAGGGTTCTTCGACTCAGTTTATCATGTTATATAGAAGCAATGGCCAAGAATATGCTGTGCCCACTCCTTCCCAAGGAAAAACATGGATTAAACTGGGCATAAGAAATAGATGGGATCTGAGTCAGGAGTTCACTAATCCATACTTACTTTCAAAACATTACTAATAAAGAACAGAAAGGATGCAAACATAGAGTAATAACAGAGCAGGCAATCAATTGCATTTGAGACTTTCCTTTCGCCAGCATCTAAGATCTAGAGTTGGGTATTCGGGGAACATAGCCTTTTTCTGAGTATGATCATATTTGATTACGTTTGCCTTTGAAGTCAGTTTTCCAGCCTGCCCCAATATGGCCTGGTTGTTCCAGATGAGCCTGACTCTAGAACAGTGTGATGAAGTTTTCTAATAGGGCTGGGACAGCTACCCCTATTTTAATTTGATTATATATTATTTTACCAATTCGTTTACTTCATGGTTCCGAAGAAGCCTCTCTTAGAACTATCTAGGAGGGCCAAAATGCATGACCACAATCCTAGAATTATTTAAAAATATATCCTTTGGGGGGAAAAACTGGGTTGTTTTGGTGCTACAAAAGTGCCTTCAGGACTGCATTAACCCCCCAATAATAATGTGATCTCTTATGGCTTTGTCTTATTTGAGACTCTTAAGGGTCTCTAACTTTGCAATGTATTGTGAGGTAAAGTCATAGAAATCAATGAAGTGAAGCATCAGCAAATGTATGTTATTTCACAGCTTACAAAAATTAAATGGAAGCCACAGCCAAACATTTCAACATTTCTAATTTCCTCTTACACACAAACACACACCCTTTCACACACACTATACAAAAGTTCTATTTCTTCTTGTCAAGCTTTTCCAGTTCACAAATGAAATTAAAGATGACTTCCGAGGTTTGCAAGAAAAATAAATACCCCAGGAATAGCAGGAACCTTCTATTCGCCTTTTGATGTTTATTTCTTCAGAGTAGTAAAATATGAACAATCAAGGGAAGGACTGCAGTTTCCCCTTCATTAGAATTAGTTAATGTACTGGATAGCCACGAGATAGAAAAATAGTTCTTTGTGGAAAGTGATCCTTCTTTCAGAGCTCAACAGCTAAGATTTAAATCTAGATAAAAGACAAAATATTCTTGGCTCATAGCACAGGATCCATACCACGTTGTCCCAGTTCATGGAAAGCACGAATCAACATTAAAAGGATGCTCCCCAGGTTTGGTTGTTTGTGTGTGGCTGCTGCAAGAAACCTTTTTAGGTCTCACACAGATGTGGGTAGAGTTGCCAGCCATCCTTTATTATAAGGAATATCACCCATGAGGGCTGGGAAGTTCTCCCTGTTATATAGGCCATAACATGCCAAAAATTCCATATTTTGATGTGCAAAAACAAAAATGTGTGAATAATGTATTTTATTACTGAGGACAAACATTTAATGTTACAGGAAAAATGCAAAGCTCGGGGAACGGAACATTTTCATTTGGTATTTAGGAACTGGCTACTTCCTGAGTGTCCAATCTGTTCTCCCTTATTGCTATTTTTAAAACCTGGCACTATTAGATGTAGGCAATATCTCATCTGTACTCTGCTATAGCTCTAGACTTCAACACAATTCAGATTCATGCCAATCGCTTTCAGAGTTGTTGGCACTCAGAAACAAACCTTCAAACAGCAAAGCCTAGTGCAATTCTTTCACTTTTAATTCATTTGCACCAGAACATAGTGCCCTTCCAATGTACTTAGTAACAACATACTGCCTTGTAAACAAAAACAATCCAATTCCTTTGTTTGCTCTTCAGCTGCTTAGCTTTTCTGTATTTGTTTTCTCAACTTTTGTCCTTCTTCTGTGCTAAAGATGGAGGGAGGATCATTAAACTTCTATACCAATGTAATACTATTACTTTCAAGGTGAGATACATTGGTGTGTACCTTCAAGACATTTCTTAGTTGTGATGTCCCTAAGGTGGTCCAGTTTTGTCTAAAGAATGTAAACTTGAACAGGAATGTATAACCCCCTGTATTTAAATAAACCTTTCAGGATTTGCTAGAAAATCATTACATCATTTATAATTAAACCACATTGGGCATGTTGAACAGGAATATTTTCAGACAGCAAGAAATTAAAAAAAACCTGTGACATTAATATTTTTTTGTAAATTAAGTCCTTTCACCTAGATATCGTGTTTTTCCAACTTTCTGGTCACATCTCTGTTTTAGGCTAGATTTTGATGTCTTGGAAAGCAAATAAATGTATTTATCTAAAATGTATACATTCTGCATGCCTCTTTGTCCTAAACTGAATGAAAGAATAGTCATATCACAATATGCCTCCCTCTGCTCCCTAAAACCCTTTGTCTTTTTCTCTAAGATGTTCCCATGGTTTGTCTAACCATAAATCTACCGAAAGATTGTAGCGATAACATCTATAAAATAACTCCAAGTTGTTATTTAGATAACCTACTGGGAAAAAAACTGTATTCATATAAGCAAAAGTAAGCCACATTTTTAAAATAGTTGTGAAGCATCAGAAGAAGAAGAAAAAAAACACCCAACGTTCCTTTCAAGGGCACAAGGATTGTGTCAATTTTTGGTGGAAAGGGGCCTCTCTTGCCCAGCAAGATTTCACTTATCAAAAAGCATATTTGTTGAATAGCTAGAAACTCCAAGTGAAAGATTATTTGTCTTGAATATGAACAACTCTTGCTTATAGACAGTGACAATGAAGTGAAAAAAATAGTCTTGCAACACTTTACAGATTAACAAATGTATTGGGAAGTAAGCTTTTACAGGCTATAGCCCACTTTGTTAGATGGTGAAACAATAACAAGTGCTGTTCAATAAAACTATCTCAATTAACACTGAAATGTTATTATCAGCATACTGAGGACTTTTGCAAACAATGGCATTAGCTTGACGTTTAAAAGCAAGTGAGAGAAAAAGCAAGACTTGAAACAGGAGAACTAGAGGGCAGGCTTGGGAAAGCTGAAGAAGCCAAAGCTGTAGTAAGCAACATCAACCTACAACTGGCATGACATTTATGACGACAGAGTGAAAAAAATATTTACAAATATCAAAGCTGATATGAATAATACATGTGCATATGAATATAAGATTGACATGGAAAAAAACTAACAAACTGATACAGACCACCAGCACAGATGACAAATAATGGACAATTCTTTATTTTATACCTTTCTTGTTCTGGTGAATGCAAACTAGTATCAGGCCTCAAGCAGTTGGTACTAGCACTCCTAGCCCTGTCAAGCGAGGGCTGCAGTTCACTAGTGCCAGTGCATTGCATCCAATGGGAGGAGGAGGAGGAGGAAGAGGAGGAGGAAGAGGAGAAAAGCAAAAAGAAAACAAAGAAAGGAATACAATGTTAGATATAAAATCATAAGGTAATGTTCTTTTTACATAAGATGTCAAGTCACAATGGTTTAATAAAGATATAATGAACTGGCCAGATGAAAAAATGCCAAGATTTGTAAAATAATGATAACAACAACAATAAAACTTAAAAGCAAATGCTTGAATTTGGTTGCTTTGAAGAATGAGGATGCCTAAGGGCACATCTACACTGACCATGTAACTTGAATTGAAGGTATCAGAAATACAGTGCTTTAATAAATGTGGCATGATGCATGAATGTCTTCAACCAGCATAAGCAGAATCATGGTATACTCCAAAATAGCGCCCATAATGTGAATCAATGCACATAGGTGTAAACCACATAATGTAGCAAAACTGATTAAGGGATGAGCACTCTGGTAATCCACACATTCATATTAAGGCAAGGGTACTGAGAGGGGTGAGGGAATGAATTCTCCACAGCCATGAAATCATTCAAAATATAGATCCTGGAACTGGGTCAGAGCCAAACTCAGGTGCATGTTTCCTTGACTTCTTCCTCTACCACTTCCATTCCACATTACCTAGTCTGTGTAGATGTGCCCTAAGGCTGCAATACTGAGCCCATGAAGTCCATTTGGTTGGCTTCTATAGGCAAGACTGCACCTCAGCAGTGGGAAGCGATACTGGATAGTATCAATTCATGAACAAATGGGAAGGAAACTCTAACACAAGATCACCTTTAAAACTTTATTTCTTTTCAGATGTACTACAACATAAAATGATAGGAAAAAAAAAACTACAGGCATACCCCACTAATACAACAGGCTCAATTCCAGACAATTGCTTTAAAGTGAATATTGTGGATGACAGTCTTCCATTGCTCACTAAGTGCCTGGTTATTATTTTCACTCTCTTGTGAGAGCAATCTCCACTGCCATGGGCAGAAAAAGGTCCCTGCTGCAATCCCCTTGAAAAGTAGAGATCTCTTATTGGGGGTGAGGGATTGTCCCCCAGGTGCTTCCCAATTGCTAGGGGAATAGATTCCTGTCAATCACAACTTTTGTTTCCCAGTAAATATGGATTGGAGAACTTTCCCAGTCCTTATATAATACCTAATTTAGGAGCTATGCAAGGATTGTGAATACAACAGTAATGAGTACATAACTTAAGGCTATGCATTCTTAACTGCCATAGAGGATTCCAGCCAGCAATACTATACAATATTGTATAGCATTATACTGTATATTATATTATACTACACAGTATTGTATACAGTTCTGAATGATCAAGGTCTCTAAAGTGAAGTGCCTTAAAGAGAGGTATGCCTGTACTTTACAATGAGGGGCACATGTGATCCCAAACTAACAAGCCTAGGAAATGATACTTCAATTGAAACTTTACCTAAACAATAGCCCATCTGTAAATCTCGGTATTCGTGAATTAAGGCAATTACGCAGAAGTGAAACATCCCGACTAAGCACAGATTTGGCCTTAACACATGCAGGCAGAGTTGAGCTTCACAGATCAAAATAATTTGTGAAAAAGAAATGAATATAAGTTTCACACAATATAGAAATCACACAGAAAAAGAAAGAACAAAAATAGATAATGATGTTAACATAAAATTGCTGGAAATCTTAATGTGGTTTAAGTAACATCAGGGATTTGGGACATAAGGCTACAACCCTGAGTATATCTGTTCAGAAGAAAATTCAGTATATTCAACAGGTTAGGACTGCAATGTTTAGAACTGCAGTTTCAGGCTTTTATTTCTGAGACGAATACTTGTCTTCTATAAGAGATAATGTTACAAGAATATTTTCATCACCAGTGCAATCAAGTTGCATTTATGGTGTTTTCCTTGATATGGTAAGAAATGATAATACAGCCAGAATGTTATTCCTCTAAATATTATTATCCCCATATTTTATGTATCCGGAATATTGATCCCCCACCATCCCAAATATGTGTGTGTATTTGCCATTTGGTCTGTCATCAACAGGTTTCTTACCTATAAATATTCCAATAAGTGCCATTCTCTAATAAAGGCATCTTGGGTGGCAGTGTTTTATAATGCCTTACGGAACTTCTTGAGTAGATCAGAAAAGAAAAGGGAAGGGAGAAAAAAAGGTCCATGCAAGAAACAAAAACATGCAAACAAAGATGAAATAATGCTTAACAATATGTTAAAATTATAATATAGCATTTTTGTATTACTCCTAAAGAATATTATGGACTATTCCAGCACTGTTTTGATCTTAAGAAACAAGTAAAGTTGCACTAAACAGATGGAGATGGGAAAATCTACCCAGTTACTTGAAGAGCACTCTGCGACTAATGAAAATGTCTGTCTCAGATGCCAAAATAACTTGGCATTTTGTAGCTTGACTTGTACCAAGGGGTAATGACTTCCTGTTCATCCATCTGCAAAACTGTGATTTATACTTTAACAAAGATCCAAAGAGCCCATTAGTAATACGACTAATATGATTTTTTTATGGATAACATTATGTGGAATGAGTTTACTTGTAATGTGTTACTTTGATGAGCGATAGGGCACAGCATCATTCTGATGAAGTACTAAAAAGAACTGGAATATTGTTAATGGACAAGTGTAAAGAATACATATCTATCTAAAGGTAAAGGTTTCCCCTGATATTAAGTCTAGTCGTGCACAAGTCTGGGGGGTGGTGTTCATCTCCATTTCTATGCCAAAGAGCTGGCTTTGTCCTTAGACACCTCCAAGGTCATGTGGCTGGCATGACTGCATGGGCACTGTTACCTTTCCGCAGAAGTGGTACCTATTGATCTACTCGCATTTGCATGTTTTCGAACTGCTAGGTTGGCAGAAGCTGGGCCTAACAATGGGAGCTCACTCCGCTCCCTGGATTCAAACCACCAACCTTTCGGTCAGCAAGTTCAGCAGCTCAGTGGTTTAACCCACTGTGCCAGCAGGGGATCTATCTAGCATCTGCTTATTTCATTCATTTCCTATCTTTCTCCAGGTTAGTGACCCAACATTTACTTTTTTATGTTGTGGGTTTGGGATAACTTGGTGGGATTTCAGGCCATTTTCAAACTACATTATTGTTGTTGATGCTGTTCTTTAATGGAGAAGAACGTTATCTGTTCTTTTCCTCCTCTGCTAAAACAAGGACTTCCACTTGATGCTCAGAAGTTTATTTATGCTGTAAGGTTTCCATGATCACAAAGATTCTCAATAGAAGGGGGCATTTAATTTAGCATGCAAAAGTATCAGGGTATAGAGAACACAGAACAAAACTGAATTTTAAAACATATTTGTTTTTTAAAAAAGGAACAGAAATCAATAACTAAAACATAAAATGAAACTTCTGCCATGCATCTGAAGGCCTTCTGCAACCTTGTTCAAATGGTTTGATTCCAGTCTATTCGGCTGCTCCACATTAAACTCCTCACATTACTCCTATTCACGAATGGTGATATGTAAGCATTTAAATAAGCATAGATGTTCACCTGCAATGCTGCTTATGCAGAATTACAGGATTTCTAGAGGGAGACAAATGGCTTGTAAAAGAAAAGAAAAACAAACAAGCACATACACCAGAACCATTCATAAGCAATTTCGGTTACCAAATGCCTGTATTTACCTGGCGGTATGTAGGCACTCTGCACTTCTTCCTCGTTTTGCCCTGGGCAGCATAAGAAGCTCACTGCACAGACAGGATGGACGATGAATGAAACAGATATAAATATGAAGCATTAAATGGCATGAATTATGCCGTGATATGCAAATGAAAAATAAATAAATGAACCAGAAAGCTTGAACTGAGATAATTACCTTGATAGGACTGAGACATATTGAAATACTTCTTTTAAATGTCAATAAAACTGGTGACCGTTTTAGCCAGTCTCAATGCTGCAACCCTTTTGTTAGGCTGAGCAAATCCTATGCACTTCAAGCAGTTTTAAAGTCAAGCCAAGAAAAGTACTTTTAAGGGAAAAGGAATATAATGACATGCCACTCATAACTGAGCAGTGGTAGGATTATGCTCCAACTCCCAAAGCATCATTGTTAGTCACTTAATCTTTGTTTATTTCATTCCAGTGTGACAAAAACAAAACGTAATTTCAGGAATTATTTTTCCACGGTTTCTGTTCAGTTTTCAAGCACTATTCAAACCTCAGAACTTCACTGAGGGGAAATCATTTATGCACAATACACCTGCTTCTCTTCTCTAGAAAATGTGTTGATTCCTGCACAAATTCATTTGTTTAACAGGAAATTCACAGAGGAAAACGAAACTTGTTTTTCTGTGCATGCATCTGCATTTGCAGAACTTGTATACATTTGCATAGGCTCCTTACACAGAAAAAAACCCACTTGTATGTGTTTTCTGCGCAAAGCAACAATATTTTCAAATTACTATTTTTCTCATAGGAATCAATGCATTCTACACAAGAATAAGTTTTTTCACATCCCTAAAAGCTAAAAATAATGTTTAAAGTTATGCCAAAAAAGAAATACAAAGAGAAGAACTGAAGTTTGCTACATGGCTCTGGAAATTGAATATGCAGCCATGTGTCCTATATGACAAACATTATAAAACATACATTTCCAAGACCACTAGAGTAAATCTTGTTGGTTCTTCATGAAGATGCCTACAGAAGGAAAAGGAGACACATTTCAAGGTGCTCAAAGACTGATTGTCTTATCAGTAGAAAAACTCAGTGCCTTCTGACTTTTGACTACTTTTAAGTCTTTCCTCTGGGGGGCTAATTCTGAATTTTCTGAACCAGGAATTCTCAAAATACTTACTAGAAAAGTAAATCTGGGTAAATGAATATTCATCTCAGAACCTGAAGGAATATGAAGGTCATGATCTCAGATCTGGGAAGTACATTTGGCACAATAAAGTTAATGTACACTCTCTTTTTAAAATGAAGACTCTTATAAGAGTCTGGTATAAATATGTGTAGAGGGTTTTTCCCAAGATAACATTAGCCACTTTCCCACAAGAAGCTTTTGTTGGGAAAGAATGGGTTGAAATTGGAAATGTTTCTTTTAGGAAGATCTTTTGTACTTTAAAATGACAGCTGGGAACTTAAATCAGGAGATGTGCTTTATAAAGAAGGTAAAGATTTATTTATTTTTTGTAATTTTTATTCGTTCTTTTTGAAATATACAGTGAAAGAGGGGGAACAACATTCCAGATAGAAAGGGTGGGAAAAGTTTGAGCCGGTTTGTGTGGTGGGGAAAGAGAGGGGTGGGAAGGGGGGGCAGTGTAGGGTTGGGGAAGGGATCGGGAAGGGTCAAGGGGTAAGTACTGGGGATAGGGGGGAGGGGAACGAAAGGTAGCTGACTCCCTACATGTAGGAAGAGACTGATCAAGAAGGTAAAGATTTTAATTGCTTTTCAAATTTGCAACTTAAAGTGAGATTTGATCAAAATAAGAGAGATCCAGCAACTGAAGATGATTTGTATTCATAACTGTGTAAGGATAATGGTCATGCAATTTAAAAAGCACATAAAACTTTTTAAACTGGAGACAGAGGATGAACCCGTAAAAGGTTACATGGCAAAATGGGCCTAATTTTGGGCTGAATGGTCAAATTGATGTTTAGGAAAAATATGTACGAACAGTATAAAATGTGCCTTGTGTAATAATTAACAGAAAATCTGCCAAGAAAATCTGCTTCTTGGCAGGGGGTTGGACTGGATGGCCCATGAGGTCTCTTCCAACTCTATGATTCTGTGATTCTGTGATTCTAATTAAGCTAGTGAAAACATATAAAATGCTTTAAATCTAACATGGAGTTGTCAAGACAAGTAGAAATTTCTTTTCCACATGTGCTGAACTTGCAAGGAAGTGAAAAGTGATGTCTTAACAGCACATCTACACTGATCGCTGAAGTCAAAGTGACCTTACAATAGCCCTGTGGCTGTTAAACACCAGATGGGGCTGATCCAGCTAACCCAGAAGAAGGCAAACTTAATGTGGCCTTCCTCTGAGTTAAGCTAGCTCAAGAAAAACCCCAAATTCTGATCCAAGATCCACGTTCTCCCTCATGTTAGGGGTGTCAAGACAGCTGGGCTGGTTCCTACCCAGAACTGGGGCACAGCATGACAGTTCCCTCCCATTCCTTCTCCCTGCATTGCAATTGGCAACAACTGCAACACCCTGCCTAACTTTTCTCCCTTCCATCCACCTAAGTGAGCCCGAGTTCTAGCTGATGTTAGCCAGAACATAAATGATACGGTAGGTGTGGGAGTTGCAGCTGTCCCCAGCTGTGACATGGGCAGAGCAACTGTGAAATTTAGGATCCCTGCCCAGTGGCGCCAAACTATAGAGGGGATTCCCTGCTGCCTCCAAGGCAGTTGAGGGAGTCCCAACTAAGCTGCCAAGTGAGTGCAATCCAGAGGCTAGGATACTAGATCGAGCCTACTTTTTCAGTCTATGTAGAACTACCCTAATATTTACAAGTCAATTCAAATACTTTTAAGACAGATTTTTGTAGTGTTACCAGAAATATTTTTGCTTGAGGTTGTGAATAAAGAACTGGATAGTAAATATCCTGTTGTTTATCCACAATACCTGCTTCCTTGATGCATGATAACAGCAGCAAGAATACTGTTTGCTCAAACTTGAAAACAAACCGAAGCAGTGACAATGGAAGAATTGATTGCAAAAGTTGTTGTTCTGGGGCCCATCTACATGGGCCACTTAATACGAGGCTTGTCTGGAGTGGCAATAATTATAATTATTTTAAAAAATCTGAAGGAACTATTTCAGTACTATAATCAACACCATAATCTTGACTACTGATATAATTCAGTATTGGTATGAGATTTCCTAATAGTTCTAAAGTTTGCATCTAAATAGTCCTCTAAAGAAAGCCTTAAGAGTACAATCAAGCTGAAATGCTTTGGGCATTTCTACTAATAAAACAGCCATTTTGAACACCTTGAGTCATGTTTCCTTTTGTTTTCTGATGGCTCCCATTGGATGTTGTCCAGTTTCAGCTTCTTTTCTTTATGAAGTTGTATAATTTGAAAAGGGGGTGGTGGTGGGGGAATCTACTAAACACTATGTCAATACAGAGAGAAAACTTTAAATATTAACCAATATTAACTAGATTCATGTGCAAAAATTATCTGGGAATGCTATTAGCCGCAGGACAAAACATAATTATATATACAAGAACAAAATTATCAGAATTTGTAATTCATACATCTATTGAGTAGAACAGTAAAGAATAGAAAGGACTAGTACTGTTAGCAGGACATTGGTGCCACATTCCTCACAAAGTAACAATGTTTTATATGTGAAACCAGTATACAGCAGGAGTGGTTAAAGAAAATGGAACAGTTTTAACAAATTGAGGATAATGTAGTAAATCGTTTTCTTTCTCCTATTCCTCATTTTCAAATACTCTTATGCTAGTGCTTTATTCACAATGAATTTCCTGGTTGTTTTCCCCACCAGAATCCACCTGGCTGAAAGTAAAGTCAGTCTAATTTACATTTCTGCTTGCCCCAATTGACTACTCACTCAACTGACTGTGATGAAAGAGTGGGATGAGAAACAACTGCCTTTAATTTAGAAGGAAACATTTTAAAATTGTGGCTTTTGCAAAATTCCAGACAAACAGGAAAGGTTGGAATGGGGAAGGAACCATTTTTAAGGCCCCTTCTACACAGCTATATAAAATCCAGGTTATCTGCTTTGAACTAGATTATATGGCAGTGTAGATTCAGATAATCCAGTTCAAAGCAGATAATGCAGATTATCTGACTTGATAATCTGGATTATTGTAATGTAGAAGGACCTTATGAACCCAAGAAGTCTTAGGTTGGCAATGACATCCTAATGAAGAGGCTGGAACATATGTGTTGTATGTGTGCATAGCAATACATATGAGTGTACTCAAATGTGTATACACATACAAACACATATATAAAAATTACAGTATAAACTTTACAGTGTTTTCAATTGTACCTAAAGCATAGGAGATTCATTCAGGAGAAAAACCACATTTGATCCAATTTTGGATAAAGGAAATGAAAGCATTTTCCTAGTTGCGATGACAGCCTAAGCAATACATATTGTGTTGCAGATGGCATTCAACTTCTGCAGATAGTCATGTTATTAAACCCCTACTGTAGGAAATACACATGTATGGTTTGATAAACATATCAAAGAATGCATTGAAAAATGCATTGTGGCACTATAACTCGGCAAATTTGGTAAAGAATTGCCTAACTACCAAAATCAATGTTTTTGCACTAGCCCTACATACATACAAAATATGTGTTCTTTTCAAACCTAGAACATGTTTATCCTAACTGAATAAAATGTTTCAGCGTTCTGGTCATGACAGCCCAAAGGTTAAAATTATTTTGACAAGGACCAGGTCATGAAAATAAAGATATTGTTAAATAACCCCCACCCCCAAATCCTGTTTTATTTGTGTTTTTTACTTTTGTACAAAATTTTATTTTAGTAAAATAAGAAAAACAGAAAAAATATTGTTAAAAATGGATTTCAAACTGATGGAGAGCATCCTTTCATCTTATAACCACATCAGACTTCGAAGCAAAAGACAAACAAATCTAGTGCTGTTAGTGGTATTTGCAATGTTATAGGTATTATTATTTCCATCTACTATTGCGGTATTGTATTTTCAGTGCCCACTCCAAATACACATTTTGCTGCAGATTCAGATTGTTAAGATATAACAAAAGCCCATACCTTTCTTGATCAGACAAATACTGACTATCCATATCTCTGGACCTGCGGTCAATTGGGCTTCGGGAGGCATCATGGTGTCTAGTTGGAGAACGTGATCTTCTCATTTGATGAATTTCATCTAAACTCCTAGAAGTGTATACAGAAGCATATAAACATGATGCTTTGATTCTTGAATGGCATACTTCAAGTTTTCTTACTGATTTAATCAAAACTGTCTTTGCAGAAGATGGGTATAAGTGAGAGATACCATTTCCCAACACACACCAAAGCCATATAGCTGGGGAGGGGCCACTTTTGATTCCATGGTGTGATGAACACACAGAGAGAATTTGTGTAAAGCTGCCCAACATGTACATGGGTCCAATTCAGTACTAGTTAGCACTTCTGAAGTCTACTTCATTCCAATGGGAGGGAGAAATTTCACTACACTGTAGCTTTCCCACTACAATCAGGAGGACTCAAAGGTGCTTGCTTGCAACTGGATTGTGCCCAATACGGATGCACAGTGAAAGCAGCTACATTGTCAAGCCTACCTCTGTAATGGCACATTTGGTAAACGAGAACGGGTCCTGCCCTGTTCGTCACCACGGTGAGGAGAAACAGATCGCGAACGATGATGGGTTGTTCTTTGCTGTTCTGGCACAGTTAACGTTGTAGATTTACTTTCTCTAGTGCTAGACCTATAACCTACTGATAAAAATGCAACAAAACAAAGTTAGTTCATGTTAGCAATGGCAACATTCAATAGGGAAACATCTTTTGCTCGTTGTAAGATTTTCAGGTAGTTACCATTTAACTACTGAAAATCCTGAAATATCATGCAGCCAAGTCTAACAGTTAGCATTTTATATAAATATACATAGAGGAAAAGGTACAAACATACATACAAGAGACTTTACGTGCAGACTGAAAAATCCCCAAAGGTGAAAAAGTGAACAGGAACAGATATAATACCTAAGGGTTAGATATTATTTGCCACAAAGGTCACTTTTTCAACTGTTCAGTATTTTTAAATGAAACGTTTGCATCTTTGGCTGGAATACAGAAAAATATGTATTGATAAAAATCACTGTAATCCACATAATCACATAGGAGAAAGCAATTTTAGGACTGATGCCTATATTCAAGTTTCATTTAAATTACCTGCAAACATGAGAATGGCATTGAGGTCATTGGACTCAATATGGCTGAATGTGAAATTGTTCCTAAAACTTGATCTGCCCTTGATTTTATAGAAAGGCTTTCCAAATCGTGACTGAGTGAGAAGACTAGCACTGCATCACAATGCTGGATAGACAGAAAGAACCAAGTCTAACAGAAAGGTACTTACATGTAATCCAAACTGCAAATTACTTGTATAATATGAAGGAAAACCTTAAACGGTGTTTTCCACTCTCAGAAAAACTCACAAATGGCTAATTGTTGGATGCCTTTTACCATTCTTTCCTCTCTCAAGAAAAACTATCCATGTGCAAATGTTATGATGAATCCCTCTTTATCCAGAAGGACATAAAAAATACTAAAATCACACACTCTCTCAACAACAGGCAAAAATAAATCCTGAGGACAACTCTCCTTGCAACTCTGCGATCTACTTAATGCATGATGATTTAAGAAAGACTTCAAATGCTGATATAATTCTCCCTTCATTAAAAGAACTGATGTATGGATCAGGCAATACTGGTTCTTAGGGAACCCTAGACTCAGTGGTAGGGAATTGTTGAATTTAAAGGAAACCATAAACCAGATATAATAGACTGACTGACACCCAAAGCAAGATTGCATGCACTTTTCTCATACGTTAGTATGGCTGGATGGAAGAGGGTGTGTGTCACACTGCAAAAAACTTTCCTCAGAATGCCAAACAGGGGGAAATCCTTTTAGAGTTTTAATTAGTTGTGTTAAAACAACACTCATCTTCTAGTGAAGGTCAAGGTTTGAGACACATAATATATAAGAGTACAGGAAATGAAAATACTTTGCTTTCATTCAAACAGTCCAGGCTGTAATGGAAAGACATTCTGGATCCATTGGGATTAACATGTCTAGATATACTGACACATAGGATAGTTCATTAGCATAAGACAAAATGCAGCTGAAATTATCCAGAATTCATGACTAAAACTAATGGGTTAATTGTGTTCATTGCAAAAAAAAAAAAGTTAGTTGTGTTCAAGTACTATGCCAAAGAAATAGCTCTTTCCCCCTGATTATTAAATCACCATTTAAAATAATGTTATTGTCTTTTTTATTCCTTTGATTAAGTAATAGAAAGTGAATTCGTATCAATAGATAAATTGTACCATATTGATTGGTCATATTAAGAGAGGAATATAAAGATACACCAGCAGAATAAGATTGACTACAATACTAACCTGGCATAGCTACTTGAACATTTTAAAACAGATTTTCTTGATCAGGTGATAATCAATGAAATGTTAATAGAGCCACTGGTAGTGTTGCACAATGGTGATCTAAGATTGCCATCTCTGTCTCAGTGCAATCACTAAGGACCTTACTCTGCATTTACACTTAGGATAATGATAACTTATGAATGCTGGTGAGAATTACAAGAGAGACAGGCATGCTTCATGCACTTAATATAAAACCATGCATTTTCAATATATTTCATGGTGAACCTGTCTGGCAATAAGCAAAGTGACAAAAATGAATCGTATTTCAGATAGAAATTCTGTAATATACAGAACACTCTGTAATATACAGAACATATATTGAAAAATTCTTAAAAAGCAAACTTCACTCGTGATATATCCAGATGTAGGAAAGATCCGATCTTTGTTTTTGGTATTTTTGGTTGGTTGGTTAATTTCTGTTGTACTTTATTGTTCTTTAAAAAGTGGTAAACCACACTGAGCACAGCAAATGCACAGGGGAAGGAGAATATGGATATTTTTTCATTAAGAAACAAAATTTAAGATGGTGCACCTGTCACAAAAGGATCACCATGGAATAATGAATCAAACTATTTTCTAAACAGTATCATCTCTCAATTCATCGTCTTTCAAAAAAGAACATCTAAAAAATTCAAACTGGGGGGGGGGGGTAAGTAAAAGCAAAGGATGTAGGACCATGCTCTTCACCCACGCACCTGAAGGAACTACTCCAATACCATCCTCAACATCATAATCTGAGAAGTCACTATCACTGATTCGCTGAGATCCTGTGCAACAGTAAGGCAAATAGATACCTGTATACTTAGTTCTTTTGTAAAGGGTTAAAATAAGTTTTAAAATGCCAGTCATTCTGGAGATTCAAATATGGGTTACAATCAAATTTAAATAAAAGTTTTTACTAATAATATAAGAAAACAATCATAAAATGAATCTTAAAGATATCGTGCTGTTATCTCTGGAAATAGTGTCTCTACTAAAGTGTCTGTTAAAATAAAAGAAATGGCAATCCTGACATATCTACAGAAGAACAAAAAGGTATAGCAAAACTGATGCTAAGGGTCTGCCATGAGGTCCAGAGTTTGAGGATGTTATAAATCATAAATGACTTAAAGGAAAACAACAATAAGTAGAGCAGGTTGTATTAGAACAAGTATACCTCAAGTTACAGGTTTTCATCTTATGGCTGTCAAAAGCATTTCCAAATGCTGACACTGCTTTAAAAACTTGTGATTTTAGGAAAAATGAAAACTGGATAATATACCTTGAACTGGTAGCTATTCGGTTTTATCTACTTTCATTATTCTATACGATTACACACCTACAACAATGGTTACCATATGAATGGTAATCACTATCTTTTGATAACTCAGAATTCACAGTTTTACATTATCTGCTTTCATTTTTTAAAGTATGCATCTATACTCATTTTTTTATAAATTGATTTTTTCTTCTCCCATGAAAGTACTCTTTTGTTCTAAATACATTCAAGTTTCCCAAAGTCGTTTGAGAGCTGAAGTATTCTGGACCTTTTAATCAACTGAAACATTTTATATAATGTTCAGCCCTCGGTGGCGCAACGGGTTAAACTGCTGAGCTGCTGAATCTGCCGACCGAAAGGTTGGTGGCTGGAATCAAGGGAACGGGTTGAACTCCCAATGTCAGGCCCAGGTTCTACCAACCTAGCAGTTCAAAAACATGCAAATATGAGTAAATCAATAGTTACTGCTCTTGGGGGAAGGTAATGTTGCTCCAAGCAGTCATGAAGCCACATGACCTTGGAGGGGTCTATGGACAACGCTGGCTCTTCAGCTTAGAAACAGAGATGAGCACCACCTCCCAGAGTCAGACACGACTAGACTTAATGTCAAGGGGAAACCTTTACCTTTTACTGGTTGAATTTAGTGAGATGTGAGTCCCTGGTAGTGAAGGGACTGCATCCACATTCTGTTACCAATAATCAATTTAGGATACACTAAGTGGACAACACTGATGTTGTACACTCACGTTTGAAGCATGTGCCTAATTTCTAGGTGTTCACTTATTTTCATGTGTATTGATTTTGGAGAAGCACACATTTTAAAGAACACATTGAAGATAATATTCAGTTGTATCACACCATAATTTTATACCATAGTAATTAGGCAAAAGGTACGAGCAAGAAGGAAATGGAGAGCTGGACCTACTTTGTAATTTTTTGCTAGAGTTTTCTCCACCATGAGCATGTCTCCTTGGCATGAAAGGTGATGGCTGAGGCAGAGGTAGTGAGGATTCATCATGTGTCTGCAGCTTATACCAGTGTGGTTCATCATCTAAAAGTGCTGTCTCCAACTCTATCAGGATCTATGGGGAAATGCAAAGCTTGTTCTTAGTTCAAACAAGAGAAATAAGATGCTTTGGACTAAATCTGATTGTTGGTTTTAATTAAAGTAGATCCACTGAATCAGCTGATCTTATATAAGTATCCCCTTAAAAGAGCTAATTGATTAAGTGGGTATAGTCTAATTGAGACCAACAATGAGATCTAGCCTTTTGAAATTCCATTACATGTTCAAAATATAACTACTTTACAATGTCAACACATTCTTTCACCTCTCCAAGAAAGTCACTTTCTTCTTCTTGTACTCGTGGCTGATCCCAGACAGTTATTTCTAGCATCCGTTCTCTAAAATCTCTACGGTGCACATGTGAATAGAGAAATGTTTGGTTCCATTTTGGTTCTAAGCTTTTCTTTACTGTTTTGGTCCTTCTTTTACTCTTATCACTGAAACATAAAACAATAATGTAAATCATGGTGCAGAAAGCAAGTCATCTCAATTGTCATCTCACATTGCAAATTTCAGAACAGAGTGCTGATGTTGGTTTGGCTCTAGGGCTTTGGCTTCTGCCCATTGGCAAGAGGTTTACAAAATGAACAAAGGGGCCATTACTCAGTTTTGCTGCTCCATCACATTATGTTCCCAAGCGGAGGCTTGGAACAGGAGACACAGGTTGATACGCAGCCACTTTAGGTGGGGCAACAACTTGAAAAATGGAAGGAGTCCAGAACTTGGAATTATTATTCTTTTAGACTATAACATTCAGAATCCTCCAGTCTATGAATTACTATGGACAGACAAACATATGGGGTCATTACAAGACTAGTTCTTATCTAGAAATCACCTATTAAATGTTGCAAGGGACATCAGTTGACTGTTTGGTGACCATATCCAACTGGTCTAGGAAACATGAAAAAGGCCAAAGGAATATAAAAACAAACTGTACCCATAAGGATGGGGGAAAGGAATGTGTACAGTGTTCCCGCACTTATCGTGAATATTACATTTCAGCACCATGTGAAAAGTGAAAATCCGCGAAGTAGGGATGCTACATTTATTTTAATATTTATACATTATAAATATGTAAACCCTCCCCACACACTTATACACTACATAACTCTTTTCCTTTACCTTATAAACAAAATCTTTCAGTTGAGAAGCAATTTTTAGAAAGCACTCCACTTCCATTAGGCATATATAAGAAGCATTCACACGCACATGCTTTGAGAGCTGAATCCACCCAATAAAAGCCTCTGGAGCCACTTCCAAGGCTGTGGTAGTGCAGTAGACCGCAGTTTGTGGCCAGCAAGCCTTCCCCGCCGCGCCTCAGGCATGACCCACACACTAGCCTCCCTTTCTGAGGCCCGTTGGCCTCAGAAAGGAAAAACCGCAAAACAGCAAGTTTGCGAAAAGCAAACCGCGAAGTAGCAAGGGATTACTGTATTCAAGATATCTTACTATTTTGTAGGAGAGACTGGAGTTCTTGCATTCATCAAAATGATGTCACTAATTCTCATTAATAATTGGTTCTTTAGTCTCCACTGGGGACCGTCTTAAGTAAGCATAAATTACTTTAAATATGGTATTATTCATAACTTTTTATGGCTTATATGAATCTTTATGACACATATGCACATTTTAACATCTATCAGATTTTACACCAGAACTACTACCTTCTGTCTGGAAGAAAATACATTTTCACATAAGGATTTCTTGGTCGTCCATCTATTCTAGGTGGCAGATCTGTTGCTTGAAGAACATTCACTATTAACTGATGTCCCACTTTGTCATACCATAGTTTAACCTAAAAAATATAAATGTGACTTAAAATGCATTTATTTGAATTCATATCCTTTTCATATCCTCAATTTATATCCTATCAAACCTATAGACCTAGAACTGGGATGGCAATATGATCACTGGGAGTAGAGGCCAATTACCACTAGCACAAAGAATATGGCAGCATGACAGACTCATACATTTCCACCACCAAAACACCTCCCCCTCTCTCACACACACACACACAAACACACACACACGTTTAGAACTGAAAACATGCTCAATGGAACATCTGAGCAGGAGAATAAAATCACAATGGATCATACTGTGTAACAGCTCTCCATAACTCTTATCTGAATGTATGTGGATTAACTCCATCAGGAGCACCATGATTTGAGATGCTCTGTGGCTATGTGAATGATAAACATGAATTTTCATGACAGACCTTACAGATTTGTAATTCCTTTCCAAATCTATATAAATAAAAATGTAATGTTTGTTTGTGGGATTAACATAACTCAAAAACCACAGGGCGAATTGACACCAAATTTGGATACAATATACCTATCAGGCCAATGAGTGACCATCACTCATAAAAACACAGAAAAACATAGCAGAAGAGACTTAAAAAAACAAAAAAATAAATTACAATGCATACTCAAAGCCACATATATATGTGCAAACACATATATACATATATACACACATATATACACACACAAAACACATATACACAGACTGGGCCACAGCAACACATGGCAGGGGACTTCTAGTATAATATAAAATATGTTCTGTACATAGGTTAGTCTGCATGTATGACCAGGCCTGTTAAAAAAACTGGTTTACTCATGAATTTTAACTGGTTAACCAAATCCCCATGCTAAGTCTATGAGATGCAAAAAATTAAGAGTCCCTCCAGAACTGCAAGCACTATCTCAAGCAAATATTGACAATTTATTCACACTGTCATTACTTGCAGCAATAGCCAATGTAGCGAAGCAACCAAGTTGGGGGGGGAGGTGGTGGTGGTGTTGAATTCTCTCATTAAGGAGGCCAGACTAGGTGGAGGTGGTTGACAGGGGCGGAACTGCAGGCTATTGAAGGCTGCTCTGCCCCCTGCTGTGCTCTTTGCTTCAGCGTGACCCTAACCCCCCCCCCCCCATTTTCAACCCTCCCCGAATTTTTTTTCTGGCTATGGCCTTGTGTATGACATATTTTTAAAGTGAAGGACAATATTTTCACCCATACATTCTTCTTTATTTGTTCAATTTCAGAAGCTATATTTTTTCACCATGATAGAAATATCAGTATATTGCCTTATCCTCAAAATATGAAATGAATTATGAGAAAATTGTGGAGAGGGGATCATTCATGCAGTTGCAAATGATCAGTCTGTTCCTACATGTAGGCATCTACATCATTCTGCAAGAGAGCCAAACTGGGTAAAGGTCAGATTCTGTTCACAGCATGAAATCCACAACCAGAAAGCGACAAGTATATATTTGCTTATAGGTACAAATGCTGAACAATAAAATTTCTCCCTATACCTTATTTCAACAGTTTAGTTCAAGGATTTGATACAAGTGGACTTGCCCAACTAGAACATGTCTAAAAAAATTGGCCCCATTAGAGGAAGAGGAAAAGAAAGTCGGGCTAAATTTGTTACCTTTGCTGGAGCTCCTCCAAACTATCACACTAAATTCTATCACAACCATCCCAAACTCCATGATAATGTGTGATGCAATGTCATTTTGTTGAGAGCTCCTGGGGTGACAAACCCTGGTCATCAAAATACTGTTCTGGATCAGTAAATGGCTACCAGGGAAGCATTCAGTAGTGATCGATGACTATTTGCTGATGATCTGGTGGCAAAAGAGATCTTCTCTTTTGATCTTTCTGACTCAAATTTGCCCCCCACTTCACATGTATGTTTGCTTATAACTATGTGTTCTCAATGGTAGGAAGACACAAAACAATGTAAAGAGTGAAACCTTGCAGTCGCTTTTTTTTCTATGAGGAGTTTTAAAAATCACAATTGAACAAGAAAGATGATATATATCATAACCACAAAAAAAGTATTTTCCCACTGTGAACATAATTTTCTACTTACAGAGAGCTGCCCAGGTAGAACCTGTGGGGCATCTTTTAGGGCTCCAGGACTAGTAGGGGAAATAACAGAGATTGAAGGCCGTTCCATTTTTTGAGATTCAAATGAACTAGAACCTAAGAAAGGGGTTGGGGGTGGAAACAAAACAGATCCATTTTATGAATATTGCACACTGATTTTCTAGTACTACTGCTATTGATCCTCTAGACAATATTAATTCAATGTATTGTCGAAGGCTTTCATGGCTGGAATCACTCAGTTCTTGTGGGTTTTTTCGGGCTATATGGCCATGTTCTAGAGGCATTTCTCCTGATGTTTCGCCTGCATCTATGGCAAGCATCCTCAGAGGTGAGGTCTGCTGGAAGCTGGGAAAAAAGGGGTTTATATATCTGTGGAATGACCAGGGTGAGACAAAGGGCTTTTGAATTGAATATTAAATTATTATATTATTATATATTATATTATATTAATTCAATATTATAATAATATAATATAATAATATTATAATAATGTTATATTATATTAATTCAACTTCAAACGTGACCGCAGAATCACCTCTTCAAGAATATTAACCTATATAGGGGCTAGAATTATTGATGACATCAGTCTTTCATGTGATTCCCTACTAACCAACCACATCCATAAGCTCCTGTGCCCCCAACCCACCCCTGAAAAATTGACAAGCCCCAAAATTTTGAGGTTTAGACAGATACTACCTTGAAGGGGGGATCAAACAGGGTACAGCGTCCTGTCCCCTCCCCCCCCCCCCCCCGAGAAAGGGACACTTAAGGGATGGGTACATGACCTTGGGTTGCATGTGGCCCACAATCTAAATATTCTCCTAGATCACTGGTTGACCAGTCACATTAGAAAGGCAATCCTTCTTTTAGTATGAATAAAGTGAAGGCCAAATGATTCCTCTAACGAAAATAACAGCAACAATAATAATGAAAAGAAAAGGAGCATAGTACCTTCCCTTTTTAGCCCATTTTCCATAGCTGCAGAAACTTTAAAAACACCATGGCAGAAAGAAAAATAATACAGAGGGGAAGATAGGGAGGGAGGGGATAGAAAAAAAATGAACATTATTGAAAAAGTCAATAAAACGCTATGATTTCAAACAAAATGTTTAACTTTGAATAGAAGTGAAAACAAAATAAGGAAACTGATAAGACAGGAAAATCAATTTTAACTTATTGTGATGTTTTGCACAAGTTCCTTTTCAAGCTCAATATCCCACTCACCCCTAATCATGAAAATGCAGAAATAATGTTGCTGTAGTGAGGAAACTGTATTTGTATAGAGGAAAAAGAAGTCCTGAGAAAACATGCTCAGGGCTTACCATGGGAGAAAAAAAGCTGGCTACCCTCCCCAGATCTTAACCTGGCTACTCTCCCCTTGGGCTAAACTGAGCTGATGAGTGTGGCATTGGTTTGTAGTATTCTGCACAGGGAGTAAGGCAAGCAAGCACAGAAAATGTCATTTAAAAATTCTTTGAATTTCTCCAGGTACACAACAAATTTCCATCAATTTACCCTGAGGCATTTTTCTCTATTTCCATAAGCTCATGCCATTTATAGTAAGTAATGTATCTGTGAGAATGGCTTTACTTTGAGGAAATATTATCAAGCACTACAAATAACCTACACCATTTAATCATTCTAAAGCCAAAATAAACCATACATTCTTATATCTTAAAGCTATCAATTAGATTGGGGACACTGAAGAAACTGGCCTTGAATATAATAATATAATATTGATATTGTATTGTCATATACTATTGTACTATTCCCTAGCAGGGGAAGAGCAATAGGGCATTCAGATACTAATACTGCTAAATGCTCAAATTTACAAATTGTACAGTACTAATTGTACTGTACAAGAAGAAAAAAGAATTCTCAACAACCTCAGTTTTCAGGTGGAACTTTAGAAATAGTGGGAATGCCACCCATCAACATGCAGAATTACTCTGAGATGTACACTGAGCAAGGAGAATAGTGAACTAACTGTACTCTTATCAGACAACTATGATCATCCAACATTATAAATAACATCACGGGACATTATGAATTACCACTGTTTTTCATCCCATGCATTTTGGGGTAGTCCTGTACGTCATCTAAGCAGATCTCACTTTAAGACTCTGCATAAAGGGCCAAGTCTTTGTAGGTTAAACCCACTGATGGCAAAACAAGTTTTAGCCAATGACACCGCTAGCAGACTGGATATTACAGAATTGAATCTTTGGACAAATACAGTTTCCTATCAAAGCAGAGAAAGGAACAAAGTGCATACTCACTAGACTCTAGTGGAGGATGAGAAGTCTCAGGAATCCTTGGAATGTCACTAGAACATACAAATGGACACATACAAAAAAAGAGGGGAAATATTGAACTACTGGTTCACAGAACAAATATGTGACCCAATTTTCAAATGGATACGACTAATAAATTAATTTAGTGCCAACTGATCATCTAACATGGGAAAGCCCGAACAATCCCAGCTTCATAGGTCTTAGCCACTTTGAGTAAGGCCCCATTTACAATGCCATATAACACAGTTTCATAATGCAGTCAAACTGCATTTACCTGCATTATATAAGCCTACACTGCCATACAATGCAGTTCAATGCAGTCACAACAGTTGTTTTTACTTTAATGTACCTCTCAGTTAGACAGAAAGAGGTGATTTACAACAATGAGAATTCACTATTCCCAAGGGACAAGGCAGGTTTACTCTTAGATGATGATTACAATGATAATGATGGTGATGATGCATACAGCAATTTCTGTTTGAACACCATCATGTTAATATTGTGACTGGATATTCCACAATATTTCAGTATTACAAGACAAAAAGAAAGATGTGGGAGAGGATAAAGGTACCAGCTACTGAGAATAACTACTAATTCTAGCTTCCCCCATCACAACATGACACAAACTGTAACTCACTAGAAGTTTTTATACACACGTCTGAAGGAGTTTGCTGAATGAAACCTATGAAAAAGTCTTACAATAACAAAGAGACAAACAAGGAAACAGGGAAAATTAAAGAAAAAAACTTAAAAGAAAGCATAGTATCTCAATAAAATTATGAAAACTATATATGCAGTAAAATCTCTGTACCTAAGGGAAATACACTCCTAGATGGATTACAATTGCCCACAATTGCAGATACAATCAAGTGTTCTTAGTTGATTTCAGGTCCCCGCATTTGTAAGGACCTAGGGATTCCTATAGAGGTATCCTCTCTAGAAATTTGCAATGTCATCCATCGCAACTCGATGATAACTTTCAGGGGAAAAAGTATGCCATAAAATTGCATGGAGGAGCTGGCAAATTCCTAGAGAAACCATTTTCCCACCACACAGGAATATGAAACTGCATACATGGTTTCATGGTTACTGTAGATATTGAACTAGGTGTAGATTATGCATTGAAATCAACCAAACCAGGCCCGTAGCCAGGATTTTGATTCGGGGGAGGGGGGCTGAGTTTGTTTGGGGGGGGGGGCGGAGTCTGCATGAAAGAGGGTCTACCCTAGCAAACCTTTTGTACCATTACCCAAATACCCCCATGCATATGGGAAATATTGAGTATGGTGATCAGATCATGATATGAATAAACATAACAGTTTAAATAATGCACCAGTAAGGCCTTTTCGCGAACTACCATGAGAATTTGGGGGGGGGGGGCTGAAGCCCCTCAAGCCTCCTCCCCCCCTCCCCCCGGATACATGCCTGAACCAAACATATTCTTTCCCAGAATTTTTTTTAAACATGGAGATAATTTAAAATCTGGGATTCCAAATTCATTATCTTAATTCCCAAACTTCATTTTGAGACTTTCTAAAATTGGGTTGTTTCAGAATCTAGCAGGTGTCTTGAGGACCATGAGACAACGCTAGGACTTTGTAGGAGCCATGCCCAAATATGTATGGATGAAACCAGGTTGCAGCTGTGGCCAGTGGCTTTATCAGTGGCTCTGAATAGAAGGATTCCAGTTACAAATATTCCCAGTGGTGAACAACTGCAAAGAGGTGGTTTTAATTGATTGTACATAAATCCATCTTCATATGGAGTTGTCCATAAATTTTACTGAAAAGAAAGTATATAATGAAGATATATCTCCCCTATATTTACTTTCTTAGATGCAAAATTCATGAGTGTACATATCTATGTGTCTGAAAAGAACATTCCACATGTGACTCTCTACACTGATAAAGCAAAAAGGGTATAAAACTTACCCAATTGGTCTTGAAACAATAATTTCAACTTGAGGTTCTGATTTGGATTCTAAAATAATGTTGTAAACTTCTTCATTTGTAGCTCCAGGAAGTGGTTTACCATTCCATTCTAGAACTTCATCGCCTTGAATTTAAAAACAATGGGGAATGTTACTTTCTTGCTATTTGTTTTATTTTGCACTTATATATACACACACAAAAATATGCTTTTTCCCAAATATGCTGTATTAAAAATAATGCACCTCAAAAAAGAATCTTGTATATTAGTTTCTTAGGCCCCTTCTACGCTGCCATATAATCCAATCCAGATTATCAAAGTAGATAATCCACATTATCTATTTTGTACTGGATTATTATACCCTGCCATAGAATCCAGTTCAAAGCGGATAATCTGGATTTTATATGGCAGCATAGAAGGGGCCTTAGAAACCAATATTAACTTCAAATTAGGGCTGTAGTAATTATTACTAAAGGTTGATCATTCATCCAAAATGCTTGGTTGGGTTCAGATGTGTTTTGCAAACAATTGTACATCAGTTTGAATTTTATGTTTTGGTTTTTTTTGTTTTTTTTTGCTATTTCTCCAAGATAAGCTAGCCAACTTTCTTTACCTATTACTTTGCTTCTAAAATGCACTTCTGTGATGAGATCATAAAGGCATCTTCTGGCACAATATGGGTTTATATCTATTCCAAATTCTCAATAAAGTATATATCAGAAAATAATTATTAAACTCTATATGCACTTTAACTTTGTCATACAATAAACATTATTGTCCACCAAACCTCAAATCATACTCCTCATTCTAATAGCCTCCCTATGTCTCATCTAGTAAAGTCTTTGGGAGTCCCTTGTCCAAATGATGTCATCTTCAAATGCATAACTCCCTATAAAAGAGAGTAGCTGTAACTTTCCTGTTGTGCAACTACCTCACAAGGGCTTTTTCATCTTCATATGTGAATGTATGTATTTGTGTATCCTTCCTTCATATCTCCTTCACAGGCTATATTACAGTTTGATTTGGGCAGCACTGCTTCCTAATGAATATTTATTTATCATATCAGAAGCAAACTGAGGGTACAGTTGTAATGTATTTTTTAAAAAAAACATGGAGTTTAAACATTTGACATTGTGGGTGATATGTGGTTACTCATACCCATCTACCATTCAGGTCTCCTGAGAATTCTGGCAGAATCTCAATAGGCAATTTAGATTTGACTTCTTCATGCATGAGAAGCTAGCACTTTGATGTAATCCAGATCTAATGAAAGTAGGATGCCTCTTCCTTTAGAACAGTGGTTCTCAACCTGTGGGTCCCCAGATGTTTTGGCCTTCAACTCCCAGAAATCGCAACAGCTGGTAAACTGGCTGCGATTCTAGGAGTTGTAGGCCAAAACACCTGGGGACCCACAGGTTGAGAACCACTGCTTTAGAATAAGGGAGTTAGATGTTATCTCTACCTTTAGTTAATTGATTCAAAGGGGATGTGGGAATGGTTGCATGTGGATCTGAAATATTTATTAGTGTCAATATTTGGCTTCTTTACTCGACTTGCCTCTGTACCCCCAGAGAACTGCCAAGTACATTTGCTTCTGGAAAGACTACTGAAGTCTTCTAAAGACCTGCTCTGCTTTGTATTGATGACTATGATTAATCTTAAATAGATACATATATAATCTGTGAGAAGTGTAGTGAACAGCTAGTGTGCCATAACTGAAGAGAAGTCATTATCCCTTTTGGCATTTATATATCCCAGCAGATATAGAAGAAAAATATACTGTTTTACAGAAGTTGGATAGTTTACAAACAACATAGATATTGGAGAAACAAGAGAAATGAAGCCATGTTACGCATATGATCATGTGCAATGGTGTTAATTTATTTATTTATTTTCTTTATTTGTATACCGCTCCTCTCAGCTCTTAGGCGACTCGGAGCGGTTAACAGCAACAGTTTCAGTATACAAAGTACAAGGTTATTGGGTATTTAAAAACAATAACATAACAAGTTAATTAACAGTAAACATCCATACAACAATATATCAATACAACAATATAACAAATCAATTAGATCTCATAACTAGACTCAGAATCCGGTCTCGTTATCCATTGTCGTTATCCATGTTCTGCTAAACAATCAATTGCACTGCTAGTCAAATGCCTGTTCAAACAGCCAGGTCTTCACTTTCCTCCGGAATGTCAGTAAGGAGGGGGCCGATCTGATGTCTGCAGGGAGGGCGTTCCACAGCCGAGGAGCCACCACTGAGAAGGCCCTGTCTCTCGTCCCCACCAGGCGTGCTTTTGTACTAACTCTGTGTTGGACACTTCCTCTAAAAGTTGAGCATTTATACATTCCATTTTATATGTCCACATCTTGTAAGTTGTCACCAGGATAATGATGATGATTAGGCTGAATAGAACAGAATCAGGACTACAAAAGTTGTTGGAAATAGCAACCTTCTTCAAGCCTTCACTAGTAATCTGTTTTGTTTATAATCCTGTTGCTTGCTGTATTGTATGTTTTGGTATGCAGCTTTCCCTTTATTCTTGAAGTTGTGGGAGGGGCTGCAGTCCATATGATCAGATCTGTGACTGCTCAGAGCTCAGACTCCATTTTAGAGAGCAAACTCCATTAGACTCTCAGAATGTAAAGATGTTGCTGTTGATTGTAAGAAAGATGCCCTGCGTTAACTGGACAGAGAAAGTACTTATCTGTAACTGGATTGGCAAGTTATGTACCTGTATGCTGAATACATGAAGGTTGCAAGTAAACCAGATATGTTACATTTAATGGAGTCCACTTTATTTTTGTCTCTTGAGAGCATGATCTAGAAACAAGATATTTTATGGGAAAGTAGATGTTTTTGGGCACTGAAAAAAACACTTCTGAAGAACTGCTATATTTTGTGCATTGGCATAATCTCTGTTCCTAACAGATCAGAGACAACTGAAGAGAAGATTTTACTCAAATGGGTTTTTGACTCTTCTCTGGAAGATTATACTTTTACAAAGGTTATGATTTTCAAATGGTTGTGAATTCCATTTTTCTCCAAAAGGTTATGAAGAATCTGGTTTTCAAAAAAAGTAGAATAATGCCATGATTCCTACAGTGTTCAGAGAAGACAACTGCTTCATTTCCACTTGAAATATATTTAATAGGAAGCAGATGTGACTAAATTTGTATTTGGATATCTGTGTAGCATACAAAGATTTATATAGCATTCCCTATGTTTTGAAATCTCCTGAACTAAAGCAATTATTTGATTTAGAGTCCTTCCCTCCTTTTTTCTTCCTTTTTATTTTTTATTTTAATTCCATTTGTGTGCAATTTTTAAAAAGAAAAAATCAATGTAACTTATAAAATGTGATAGAGACTCTGTGTAATGCCACCCATATTGATCTGAAGCATTTATTGTAAAATATTTAGCAAAGTGTACATTGAAACTAAATATAGCCCACAAAAATAGAAATTGTAAAGGCTTTTCACAACCACATGACCAGATATAACAATAGCTAAGTTACCTGCTCTTAGATGTCCCACTACATCAGCCAAGCTACCTTTCTTTACTTTGGTAATGAAGGCACCAAGTCGTCCCAATTCAGTCATTTTTCCTCCTACAACCTGAATAAAAATGAATAAATCAGACTCTCAGAATTCACCAAATTACATTTCAAGAATGATAAATGTATTTCAAGAATGGGTTGTTTTTTTTACAGGAAACTATTTAACCCAATTGTATTTTCATGACTTTTGAATGAATCAGAAAATTTACTTGACATACCACAGAGGTCTTGCACCGTTAGACTTAAATGTTTCTGATTCTACTGTTCCTTGGGTCAGAATACTAAAAAGGCATCATAAACTATGCTGTCATTTTACCACATAGGGATTCAGCATTGAGGACTAGCTTAACTTTCACCATCAAGTCCTGCTGCAAAATATGAATTATGCCCCAGGAAGCATCATTCATGCTTACTCCTCTTATTCAGCCCATTGAAAAGCTTTCTTTATGTAATGCTAAATTACTCATGGATGAACAGGAAAAATTCATAACATAACTCCAAACTACTTACTTTGAGTCCAAGTAATGCACCAGACTCTTTTGGCATGGTTGTTCTCTTGTTGAGAATAACACGACCAATCAGGCAATCTCCCTCTTTAGAAGGCTGCCACGTCACAGGATGCTAAGGAGGAAAACAAATTGAAGGCAAGCAAATGGTCTCATCCTGTTTTCTGTATATAAATCAAGTATGTACAACAAGTGCATCATGGAAGAAATGCATGCAACCTTCATTTCAGAATCTACCAAGTTTTTCTTACATTTTTAAGGATGCTGGACATCTGCTTTAATATTCAACAATACATTTTTTCTGTTGTCCACATAGATATAGATTATTGCCTTTTTGCCCAATGTAAAAATCATATCCTTAACTTGAATTGTATCCAATATAGAAAAAATTAATGCAAACTAAAAAGAAAAAAAATCCTTATAATCCACTGCCATTCCCCACATTTCAAGGTTGTAAGAGTCAACCCTTTTTGAGGCATGCCAAGAAAAGAAAATGGAAATTCTCCAGCACTTAAAAGGAATTCAAAATCCATAGTTTTTGAATTTCACTTACACAGCAGTGTGAGACAAATATTGTGCAGGGCTGTATTAAATAGTGAATTAAAATTATTTAGTTTTAGTTATGTTATTTTTGATTGTATATAATATATAACTAAATTACAAATAATATAATGTATTTAAATTATATACTGTAGCTAGTAACTAATACCACCAAGATGTTTTTCTCCATTATCACTACAATATACTGTAATATACTCATTTTTTGTATTTATATTTAATATTTATTTGGGTTGCTGTGAGTTTTCCAGGCTGTATGGCCATGTTGAATCCAAGCCTCTCTATCCAGCAAACAAATAAATAATATGTGTTAACAAAGGCTTTTGTGGCCAGAATCACTGCAATGCAGTGAGTTTTCTGGGCTGTATGGTCATGTTCCAGAAGCATTCTCTCCTGACGTTTTGCCCACATCTATGGAAGGCGTCCTCAGAGGTTGTGAGGTCTGTCGGAAACTAAGCAAGTGATGTTTATATATTTGTGGAATGTCCAGGGTGGGAGAAAGAACTCTGGTCTGCTTGCGGCAAGTGTGAATGTTGCAATTGACCACCTTGATTAACATTTAATGGCTTGTAGTTTCAAAGGATGCCTGCCATAGATGTGGGTGAAATGTCAGGAGAGAATGCTTCAGGAACATGGCCATACAGCCCAGAAAACTCACAGCAACCCAGTTATTCCACCCATGAAAGCCTTTGTCAACACATAGTATTTATTTGTTTGCTGGATAAAGAAGCTCAGATTCAAAGCTTGCTCCACTCATCAAGAAAACCTTTGACTCATCCTCTGCTCATGGGACACTCCTGATGATAGAAGAAAAGTTGACTTTTGATTACTTTCCTTTTGGTTTTGTAAGAGAGGTTTGGTGACAAATGGAAATTCAGTAGAAAGTCTTTTTATGCAAGCAGGGCCCAATACTGGATGAAGCCCAATGCAGGGGTAGAGTGAAAAGCCCTTTAGGATCTGTGACAATGTAAGGAACTGCTCAATCATTAATATACTTTGGCAACCTCTTTGGAAGAAAGATCTAAGTGCACAAAACATTTCCCCTTATCAGTTTAAAACACGAACAAAATGCTAGCCAATAATTAAAATGGAATTTTGTTTTATGTGAATGATGAGGCAAGGACAGCAATTAGGCAACAATCTTGGTTTACGGTAGTGTAATAAAGAAATATCAAAGCAAAAAGCATTTGCATTGGTAACAAAACAATAGTATTGCAGTATTTCTTACTGAGCTAATAGGAGATGTCTCCCTACTGTGCCACGTGGCAGGATCCAGCCAGTAATAATCCAAGTCACCTGAAAGATATATATCAATGGAAAAAATGTGTAATCTCTCATGTTCCGAGGTTTGGATGGATGTGCTATAGCTGTAGTTGCATATTAAAAAAGATGACATTTTTCAACAGTATCATGGATTGAATCACAATCAAATGCCCAAGACTTTGGAAATAAAATTACATTTAAGTGCCACTGTTGCATAAAGGTTTCGGTTGGCCAAGGTTATGCTTTATTGATATAGTTTCTGGGAAGAAATTTGTCTTTGGTGTTTTAAGGTGATGCTACTGCTAGTATATAAAGATATATGAATGTGGTTCACACTGAGCGGGACCACTATCTATCCCACTGCAGTCCTGTCCGACTGCTAAGGTCCCTTGGACCTTTGACACAATCGTTTCTAGGTCTGTTTTCCAAGGTCTTCTTAGCTGGAAGTGTCTGAGATTAGAAGATAGACACAGAGACGATATCAAGATAGAGGGAATCCTGGCCAAGTTGAATTTGGGAGGATAGTTACTCCCCGATTCTGATCAATGTATTTGTTGGGCAGCGGAGTCTCTCAATTCACTCTTTCCATACTGCTGGATTTTTTATCCCTTTCCCCATGCCTCTACTTCCCATGCTTTTGTTGTGTATCATTTTTACTTTTGAACATATCTCCTTGGCAAGCCAGTAAACTGACCAAACAGATACTGCAAGACAAAGCTCTATGCCAGGTCGGTTAAAGCTGACTTTAAATAATAATAATAATTTGGGGTGAGTCTAGAAAAGAGGGGTAAGCTGATTTTTTTCCATGTCAGGAGTGACTTGAGAAACTGCAAGTCACTTCTAGTGTGATAGAATTGGTCGCCTGCAAGGACGTTCCCAGAGGACGCCCAGATGTTTGATGTTTTACCCTCCATGAGGCTTCTCTCATGTTCCTGCATGGGGAGCTGGAGCTGAAAAAGGGAGCCCAACCTGCTCTCCTAGGATTCGAACCACTGCTGGCACAAGGGTTTAGTTTATTGTGCCACCGAGGGCTCCGGTAAGATGATAAAATGCTATTTTAAGGCTCATGGTATACCCACTTCTTTGCAGGATCAAGTGTTGTCCCTGGGCATCTGGTAGTCATGATCTAACTTCCTATCATAGTTGTAGTACTTCGATCCTACTTTAACTGCAATGGGATCATTTAGGGCCCTTCCACACAACCATATAACCCAGAATATCAAGGCAGATAATCCACAATACCTGCTTTAAACTGTAATATCTGAGTCCACTCTGCCATATAATCCAGTTCAATGTGGTTTTTATACAGCTGTGTGGAAGGGACCCATAGAGATCTCTGTCCAGGTATGCCAAGTAAGATTTGTTCAATTTCTAACCCCAGCATTCCAAAGGAGGTAGTCATAGAAGTTAAAGTGGGATCAAAGAGCAATAATTAGATAATGTGAAAGAGACTGCATTGAGAAAGCCCAGATCCCATGAACATTTTTGTCTCCATCATGAGAAAGGCATCAAGCACTTTCTCTTCCATTGTGCTTTGTGCATTTTGCTCCAAGGAAATCTTTTTCTTTATGTGAACATAAGCAGCAGCAGGGGGGAAAGGGGGGAGGTTAACTGCTTATGAAGAAACAACCAACCCATCCAAAATGTCTGCTTTTTTACAGACCATGCAACAAGATGGCAGTTATAATAGTTTTAAATACCACACAATTACATATAAGCACAAAAGTCAGTCCTGTAAATGGACACATTGTCTCCAAGACAAACCAAAAGAATTCCCACCACCATTTCTATTTTGCATCCTCATTTAGCCTGCAAAGATAAAACAAGTTTAGTTAAATCTCTAGCATTGTGAGAGAGTGCATTAAAATCCCAGATTACAAATAGTGTGTGTCTTCAGCCTCTACTCATCTCTCTCAGAGCTTGGATTTGCAGTGCACCTCCCTGGCTTGCATGAAGACCTTCCAGACTTAGGATTCCGGGAATCTAGATCACCAGTATGCTTGCTCTGGTGTCCTCATGAAACCTGCTCAATATGTGCATTTGTAAATACAGAAGATTTGATTCCCATTAACATTAGTTGCCTTTCATTCCTACTGAAATCAGTGAGATTTAAGCTAAGGCATGATTAACCCATCCCACTAATTTCATAGAGACCCAAGCTAAATTAATTTGCAGCATAATCCTTTATATGTTTATGCAAAAGCATTTCTGTTGAGTTCCATGAGGTTTACTCACAGAAAACCCGGTACAGGATTGAAGTCTTAGTTTGGATCCAGCCAATCATGCTTGCAACAGTAAATAATACAACTTAAGTTGAAAATTCTAATTCTAATGAACTATTTAAGACTGTTCTGAATTTCCTGTTGCTAAGGTAGGAACTGACAAAACCACCTCTGAGTATTCGTCACCTAAGAAAACTTGATGAAATGCATATAGTTACCATAAGTAAATGCATGACTTGGAGGTACATACACACATGTAAAGAAAGAAGGAACAGGAACAGTATACATAGTACTAGTAAGTAATTTCATGTCATTTAAGTAATCTAGTATGGTATATATAGGGCCCTTCCACACAGTTTTATATCCCAGAATATCAAGGCAGAAAATCCTCCAATTTCTGCTTTGAACTGGAATATCTGAGTCCACACAGCCATATATCTCAGTTCAAAGCAAATAATGTGGGATTTTCTGCCTTGATATTCTGGGTTATATGGCTGCATGGAAGGGGAGAGAGAGAGAGAGAAGGGAAGAGAGAGAGATTGTTCTTACTGATGGATATGACAGTTTAAAATGCCATGGTGATCAGCTAATGAATTGCTGTAATAAACCAAAAAAACCAAAACCAGCCCAAAATAGATTCTATTAATAATCTTTGGAAAGAAGGCATCTTTGGAAAGAAGGTATGCTACAACCGCTATACACATGGATCATGAAGTACCTCCCATTGAACACAGTGGTGCTTACTTTGAGTAGGCCTATACAAGACTCCATGTAAGACTGCAACCCCCACACACTTATCTAACAAGACTCAGTGGAGTAAGTGGAAATTGTGCATGACTACATATACATGGGATTTGAACTACTGGTTGTGCAGATCTCAGTTTACTTTTACCATAAATTAAACAGTCTTAAGACAAGATATATAAAGCCCATTGTTATATGTCAACACAGCACAGATATTCTTGCATCCAGAGGACAAATTTATAACCTAAAGCATCCCACTTCCCTTGGCTTTGCAGAAGAAAGAGAGGGGCAGCGGGGTAAATCTGCCACCCCATATTGTAAGGGAAGCATTCAAGGACGCTTCCACCCCAGTTGGGGGTTGGGCTTCCACCGGAAGTCGCCAAAACAGGATGGAAGAATTCTAGGATGCTGAATTTGGTGAGCATGATAAGGTCCCAGGTCAATCCTTAAAATAATGCTTATACATTAACCATTCCCTCTAGTTTTGTCCAAACCAAGGATATATGATAACTAGCTACAAAACAAGATCAGGATATTAAACTGACTTCAAAGCATATTTCCCAAGACAGCTCAGAATAAGGCTTAAATGAAGCAATGGACAACTCCAGTAGTTTCGGGACAAATTCAGCCCCCTTAAAAATGTATGGACTATATCCAAACCCTTGCAAATCTAGAAATGCAATTAAGGTAAGCAAGAGGATGTTTCTTTTTTTAATGATATATATTTGCCACCTGATTTCACCACCAAAGCATAGCACTGCTATTAAGGCAAATATTTTCAACTCGCTTTAAAGGTTTTGAGGAGACTGCTATCAAAATCAGCAGTTCAATTTGCTGCCAAATTTTGATGCTGCCATTTTAGAGGCAACCTTAGTGGCTGTCTGTAGCCATTGAGTCATATTTTCCTCACTCCTGACTTAAAGGCAGATTTTTCTTCTCATGATCCAAATATTCAGTCTACAATGCAATAAAAATGCCACTATAGTAGACAGCAAAATATCCCAGTGAAATAACTAGAAGAACAAATTTTCAACAGTCAACTAATATACTAGTTTGAGTTCAAATTTTATTAGTAAAAACATACAGGCTATAGTAAACACAAGAAGTCTGTAATTATTTTGCATGCATCATGTATGAATACAAATAACAAACAAATTTGTATTTCTGATTTTCACTGTAAAGGTGGGGGTGAAAGATGGGGACATGGATAATTTCAACCATGTCCCCAAAACTCGAGTTCAGGTTGTGTGCCACTTTTTTTTAAAACTCAAGATGTCAGATATGTTTATTCATGGCCGGAATATGATGGATCAAGTGCAGGTCCAGTTAACTCAGGACCCATCCAGACAGGGCCCATATCCTGGGTCCTGTCACACTTTTATTGGAGGCGTCCAAACAACGGTGCCAGTAAAAGAGGATTAATTCAAGGCAAAGCAAGAAATTCTGCTTCATCCCGAATTAATTTGACAGCCCATTAGACCCATGCCATCATGAAAGGCTCGGGACTAATGAGCTATGGGGCCTGTGGGGACAGATTGCTACCTGGCACTACCTGGGTGCCTGTCTGCACACCCATCTCTCCGCCCCCCCAAAAGCCTATAGATGGTTAAAAACTGAGTTGCCTGCAGGCTGAGAGGGGCGGTATATAAATGTAGCAAATAAATAAATAAAAACTTGTCGGGCAGCCATTATGCCTCCCTGCACACTTCCTGGAACATACCAATGACACATGAGGAGCCAGGGGAGCCAGGAGAGATTAGGGCCCCACCTGCTCATGTGTCATTGGTATCAGGCCTGAAGAGAGACCTAGTGGTGCCCTGTAAGTTTTCCTTTTATATTAAAGGGTTTTGCGGAGGGTTTTGTGTTAACCCCGTGGCAGCATGGTAGTTACTGTGCTGCAATGGGGACAAGCCATAAGAAAGCCTGTTGTGGGGACTTAAACCCACTTTGGAGCGGATTTACTTAACCTGCTCTGAAGCAGGTTAAACATATGTCTAGAATCACCCTGAGAAGCAAACTACAACAATAAATAGCACTTTTATGCCATCTCAGATACTTTTTAATGCT